AGTCTATCTCTAACCGCCCTCCCCCGCCACCAAGTCCCACACCCCCCTCACCCAAAGTCCAAAGAAGGAGGGGCGGCAAGGGCCATTAAAACTTTCAGTCAACCCCTGCAGACTGCTCAAAATTTGAAAAGTCCTTTCCTACCCACCTCACACAAGTTTCCCCCCCCCCGCCCGTTTCATGTGTGGTTCATAATAAAATATTCGTTTCTGTTAATTACTGTTTCCATGATTTTCTTTTGGAGGAGAGTCTGTCTGAAGGGGGGGGAAGGGGCTTGGTAATTGGACAGGACAGTCACCTTTAGCAGGGTACAGAGGCGGGGGCAGGTCCAGCATCAGGACACATACACAGTGCAGTCACTAGTTACCCTGGTCAGTCTGGGAGGTGGTTTTCATGTTCTGTGGGGGGGGGGTTGCTCTGTGACTTTGTGGCGGGGGAGGGCAGTTACTGATCTTATGCAGCGGTCTTTATCCTGGATCACAGAGCCACGAAGCAGGGGATCTGTAACCCTCCTCCCACTGCCAGAAAGTCACCTAGCCGACACATACACGCAGTCCCGCCCAGGAGTGCTGGCAGGCTCCGTTGAAACAACCAGTCCACCACTGCGGAGCCTGTCATTCCTGGAGTTTAGAAGCATCATTTGCATCAGAACACTAAACCCGCCCCCCGCCACAGTCTGCGTCCCCGGTTTAAAACATTCCCGCGAAAACAGTAATAAAGACAACGGTGTTCATTAACAAAACAGAACAGATTTTATTTTTTGGGAAGGGGGTGAAGGGGGTATGTAGCTGGAGAAGATAGTCAACATAAACTGGGTAAAGAAACGGGGGCAGGTTCAGCTTCTGTGTCCACAAACTTAACAGTCACTGGTTACCCTGCTCAGTCAGGAACCTTGCTTTCAAAGCCTCCCGGATGCACAGCGCGTCCCGCTGGGATCTTCTAATCGCCCGGCTGTCTGGCTGGGCGTAATCAGCAGCCAGGCTATTTGCCTCAACCTCCCACCCCGCCATAAAGGTCTCCCCCTTGCTCTCACAGAGATTGTGGAGCACACAGCAAGCTGCTATAACAATGGGGATATTGGTTTTGCTGAGATCACAGCGAGTCAGTAAGCTTCTCCATCTCCCCTTGAGACGGCCAAAAGCACACTCCACCACCATTCTGCACTTGCTCAGACGGTAGTTGAACAGTTCTTTTTCTGTGTCCAGGGCGCCAGTTTAGGGCTTCATGAGCCAGGGCATTAGCGGGTATGCTGGGTCCCCGAGGATCACTGTAGGCATCTCCACATCCCCAAGAGTTATTTTGTGGTCCGGGAAGTAAATACCTTCCTGCAGCCGTCTAAACAGACCAGAGTTCCTGAACACGCGAGCGTCATGAACCTTGCCCGGCCATCCGACGTTGATGTTGGTAAAACGTCCCCTGTGGTCCACCAGTGCTTGCAGCACCATTGAAAAGTAGCCCTTTCTGTTAATGTACTGGCTGGCCTGGTGGTCCGGTCCCAGGATAGGGATGTGAGTCCCATCTATAGCCCCACCGCAGTTTGGGAATCCCATCGCGGCGAAGCCATCTATGATGACCTGCGCGTTTCCCAGGGTCACTACCTTTGAGAGCAGTACCTTAACGATTGCGTTGGCTACTTGCATCACAACAACCCCCACGGTAGATTTGCCCGCACCAAAGTGGTTTGCGACTGACCGGTAGCTGTCCGGCGTTGCAAGCTTCCAGAGGGCTATGGCCACTCGCTTCTGGACAGTCAGGGCTGCTCGCATCCGGGTGTCATTGCGCTTCAGGGCAGGGGACAGCAACTCACAAAGTTCCAGGAAAGTGCCCTTCCGCATGCGAAAGTTTCGCAGCCACTGGGATTCATCCCAGACCTGCAGCACTATGCGGTCCCACCAGTCCGTGCTTGTTTCCCGGGCCCAGAATCGCCGTTCCACAATATCCACATGACCCATTGCCACCGTGATGTCCTGGGCGCTGGGTCTCGTGGTTTCTGACAGCTCTGTGCTACTCTCCGACTTCAGGCCCTCACGGCGGTGCCGTAGCCTCCTCGCCTGATTTCTCTGCATCTGCCTCAGGGAAAGGTGTATGATAAGCTGCGAGGCGTTGAGAACGGCCACAACTGCAGCGATGGTCGCAGCGGGATCCATGCTCGCAGTGCTGTGGCGTCCGCGCTGTCACTGATCAGAAAAGTGCGCGAACTGATTTCCCGCCGGCGCTTTCAGTGAGGGAGGGAGGTCGGTAGTGACGGACGGATGACGACAGTTACCCAAAAGCACCCTCTACACATTTTTTTACCCAGAAGGCATTGGCGGCTCGACCCAGAATTCCAATGGGCAGCGGGGACTGCGGGAACTGTGGGATAGCTGCCCACAGTGCACCGCTTCCAATGTCGACGCTTGCCCCGTTAGTGTGGACTCACAAAGTCGAATTACTGTCCTTAATGTGGACACACACGTTCGACTTTGTAATATCGATTCCACATATTTGATTTAAGTGAAATTGAACTACCCTCGTAGTGTAGACATACCCTAAGAGATTAAAACATTTTCTTTTCCAATATTTTTCAAGTAAAATCAAGAGGTCTTTACTTATTTTTCACTCATTCCTTAAATAGGCCAATTCCCACTGCAGTCAATGGAAGTTTGCCTACGTAAGGATGTCAGGAGTTGGCACAGTATAAAGACACATTCATTATATTATACCTTGCTGTGCAGCACGTTTCTATGTAGTGAATTAATATTAGCTGTATGGTATTTCACAAAGAAGAAATCAGAAACTGGAATGAAAAACACTAGGCAGTTCTACCTAGGGAGTCCACTAATAAGTTCCCTGAGGTTTAATACTATAAGTAATTGTAGCTACTTAGACAATTGTTAGAATGCAGATTATATTGATTTTCTTCAAGTTGCTTGCACACAACAGGATTTACCAAGTAATGTGCAGTCTATTTACCATGTTTGAACTTCAGCTAAATACTGCCCAGAGTACACTTATTGAATGATGGAAATACACTATTTATTATGTTTCTGGATATATGCATATGTACTGTACAAACACCACACCAAATAATATTCTCAAACTTTTCCTGTTTGGCAGCTGGCATATATAGTGTACGTCTCTATTTCCTACTATGCTGACACTTCATGTTTTTCCATCACCTTTAGCTAAATCAAGACTGCAGTAGAGTATTGGTGAGAATAAATTGTCTACCAGAGCATGGTCACTTGCACAAACATTTCTAAACCCCTGTATGATAATAAAAATGAATGTGTCTGATTAAATATATGAAAAACCACTGATCAAAAGTAATATTTCCAGCTGGATAAATTGTAACAAAGATAATGTATTATTGTAACAGAGAATAAAGTTGGTGCCATTTTGGGCCAGCATCTACTTGGTTAACATTGCACAGTGGTGTTTATTAATACCCTTTCTTGATTGCAATGACTGCACCGGTTATAAAAACGAATATAAGTTATGTGCAAACTGACCAGTGCTGTTATATTATAAAACTAAAATTCTAAAAATTAAATTTGGAATATTTAAAAACATCCCTTTTTAAGATGCTGGGTGCAGGGCAATGTTTCTGGTTGTTGTGGGTTTATTTTATCATGGTTTGCTTTTGTAGAAAAACGTTTGAGTGGGGAAAAGTTCACAGAATCCTTAGCCCAACCTTGCAAGCAAAGGGTACATGATTTAAAAGATGGAAGCACATCAGTGCAATAGATGCATTTGCAAAAACGCAACACAATATTTTATGGGACATTTAAAAAAAGAAATAAAAGCCACAACTTACCAAGTTATCTACCACATTCTGATTGGATTGCACTGTGAATAGAGAAGTGTCCTAAGGATATACAAGAAGGAAGCAAGAAAAAATATTTTAGAAGTCTACCAAACGCTTGATTCTGTAAGGCTTAGTCAGGCAACGCTCTCATTGACTTCAGAGCTTTACCTAAGTAAGTGAGGGAGAATCAGATCCCAGAACAGACCATTTTAATAAGTTTACCTCAAATGTAGACAATTAAACATTCTGTCTTTTAGAAATACTTTATGGAAGAATGAAAATTTATTAAACATTATCCTGATGAAGGCATAGAAGTGTAAAACTGAGTTCACGGTCTCACAATACACCTAACTTACAACAGCTCTATTACAGAGACAAGGTGGGTGAGGTAACATCTTTTATTGGACCAACTTCTGTTGGTGAGAGAGGCAAGCTTTCAAGCTTACACAGAGCTCTTCTTCAGGTCTGGGAAAGGCACTCCACGTGTCACAGCTAAATGCAAGGTGGAGCAGATTGTTTAGCATAAGTAGTTAGCACATATTGTAAAGGACCATTCAAGGTAGAGGGATGAGAGTCTGGGGGCAGAGGTCTACACTACAGCGGGGATCGACACTCTGAGATCGATCCACCGGCAGTTGATTTAGCGGGTCTAGTAAAGACCCACCAAATCGACAGCAGATCGCTCTCCAGTCGACCCCTGTACTCTACCCCGGATGAGAAGAGTAAGGTAAGTCGACAGGAGAGTTTCTCCCGTCGACCCCCCGCGGTGTAGACCCCGCAGTAACTTGACATAAGGTATGTCGACTTTAGCTATGTTATTCACATAAGCGGAGTTGCGTAGCGTAGGGCAACTTACCGCGGTAGTGTAGACATAGCCTATGATACGTTTTTAAGGACAGAATCACAGAATTAGCAGTCCGGCGGGGAGGGGAAGGGACTACTATAGCTCACCTTTGTACTCTCCTGATTCTGTGCTGTTCTGAGACCTGGACTGGCTAAATTATGGCAGCCTGCCCCCATCTTTCTATGGGAGGCAGTACTGCTCCGAATCTCCACAATGTTGTGCTGTGGCCCTGCTTACCCCCAGACATGCTCCCAGCACATCCGCTATATAAAACCTGGATTTATGATGGGGTTCTTGGAGGATAATCTGAAGCCATCTTCCCCAGTTCCTGCACTGAAGGAATTCTCCCTTGTCTGGACCTGGGGTTGTTAGGGCTCCTTTACGTGGCTCTGACTCTCTTCTGCATTGTAAAGTGGCTGGAGCAGGGATAAGAATTGCAATCACAGAGCCCAATTCTGCCTTCCCATACACCCTAGCGACATGGTCTATTCTTATTTACCAGAAGACTGTTTTGTAAAATGATTGGTTGTTGTCAGCCCATAGTTTATGTTAAATTTTATGTCATGTTACATGATTGTTTCAAAATCAATGAGGATATCTTTAAAAAATTGAAAGAAAATCATAAGAAAAAAAGGAATTTAAACAATGAACCATTCATTAGCACAGTACCTTCAGACAGTTAAAATCTGCTTATCCAAATGAGATGGGGGATGTGAAAGCAAGTTAAATAGGTTTTTTTTCACATAAGTATGGAATTTTGGTACATGTATCAGATTTTAGAATTTCACACAACAGATTTAGATAACATTTGTAGATTTAGTCAAATGTTAACTAAGCACTATCTGGTCTTCTGACTTCCTCTGGGAGGCTATAATATAAAATAGACATTGGGCGGTTTTACAATTTGAGTGCATTGCGTGCAATAACTTTTACATTTGTTAAATGTTTATTATAAATACACAAATTCTCCTCTGCCTTTATTTGACAGATGATATCACCAACTAGACAACTCAAGCTGTACAGCTGTTCAAAAAAAGTTTAGTATATTTTGTGAAACATTTTCAGAGTGGATTTTTTAATTTCATTCAAGAATTTTCATGCTTTTTTGATGAAAGTTTTAGAATTAGATTTTTTTTTTAATTAAAAAAGAAAATTTTGGTTTTGGTGGGGAAAACCTCCCACTCTCCCCCCCCTCTTTTCACACTTCCCCCATTTTTTTTCCAATAGAAAAAAGTTTAAAAGGGAGACAAAGTAGGTTTTTTTCTACCACTATCTCACCAGCAAAGAAGAAACAAAAAGCTTTATACATTAAAAAAAATTCATAAAATTACAAAAATATTCAATTTGAATTTTTACTGACATTGAAATGGGTTAAGAAATACCTCAAGTTTGTTGAAACAACATTCTTCAACATTTTTTTTTTAAATCAAAACATTTTGACCAGCTCTGCTTGGCTGTTTTATAGGTAAAGTGCACTGGATTCAATAGCTTTTAAGTTTGCTATATACTTCAACAAGAGAAGAGTCTGACCAACATTCATTTGAAAGTTCCACCCTAAAATTTCAGTGTCAATTTAAAATTCACATGTAATGAGGCAGATTTTTAAGTACTGGCCTCCATTTTTGTGTTTGTAATTATTTGTTCTATTCTGTTCTACCCAGCTTAAGTTCTTTTCTGCACCCATCACAGAGTTATCTTAGCAGGTGAAGATGCATAGATGTCCCTATGATGTCAACTGTCCCACCAAATAATTGTGGATGCAAAATTGCACCAATAATTTGCAGGTGCAAAGGTGGAAGACAGCTTTTAAAAATCTGGTCCATTATATATAGTCAGGTCACAAAAATACTAAGGACAAATTCTGGTCCTTCTGAATTCAGTGAGAGCTTTGATTTATTTAAGTGGTACAAAGATTTGGTTCTGTAAGAAATTAAGGGTGAGATTTTCTTCCCCACTGATTTTCTTCCCCCTCCAGACCCATTGTATGGGTAAAAAGGCTGGAGCAGCATAAAGGGGCATTGAAAGCCCCAATTCCAGCTGTGGGAGTTGGAAGCTAATGTGCCTTCTGAGGGCCACATCACAAGACTTAGTGTAAGGGGGGTGAGTATGGGAAAGGCAGGAGCGGAGCCACAGCATTGCAGAGATTCCAAGCAGCATGCTGTGGCCCATAGGGTAGCCCAGGGATGCTGCTGTATCTTAGATAGGACCCAGAGCTGACTAAGTTATGCTGGGGGCCCTGGAGCAGCCCAAGATTGTGAGGGTGCAAAGGTCACTTAAAGCAACTTTTCCCCATCATACCCCGCTTTTGCTGCACCTCTGCGAGGCCCAGCACCGAGTAAATACCACCAGTACATTTCTGTGGTTAACAACTAATATAGAACTAACTTCCTTACTGAAAATCAGATTTTAAAAAATGAACACAAAGATGTACACACAAGTATAAAAGTTGGTGGAAGAATATGAAACCCACACTTAACATTTTGGGGTCTGAGTAAATTCACTTCCAAAAAATTCAGCTAAAAATCTAAAACACAGTAGCTTATTGGGGGAAACCTTAGCCCCACAAAAGTGGTGGGAGTTTTGTCATTAACTTCCGTGGTGCCAGGATTTCACCTGAAATATTGGCGCCATATCAGTGATATTTACGGTGACCAGATAGCAAGTGTGAAAAATCAGGACAGGGATGGAGGGTGATAGGCGCCTATATAAGACAAAGCCCTGAATATCGGCACTGTCCCTATAAAATCAGGACATCTGGTCACCCTAATGACATTGGGTATGTCTACACTGAAGTCATGGGATGCGATTGCAGCTTGTATAGACGTACCTGTGCTAGCTTTACTCAAGCTGGTCAAGCCCACCCAAAACCCTGGTTAATTACTCATGGGGTCAGCCTATCATAGAATCATAGAATATCAGGGTTGGAAGGGACCTCAGGAGGTCATCTAGTCCAACCCCCTGCTCAAAGCAGGACCTAATCCCCAACTAAATCATCCCAGCCAGGGCTTTGTCAAGCCTGACCTTAAAAACCTCTAAGGAAGGAGATTCCACCACCTCCCTAGGTAACCCATTCCAGTGCTTCACCACCCTCCTAGTGAAAAAGTTTTTCCTAATATCCAACCTAAACCTCCCCCACTGCAACTTGAGACCATTACTCCTTGTTCTGTCATCTGCTACTACTGAGAACAGTCTAAATCCATCCTCTTTGGAACCCCCTTTCAGGTAGTTGAAAGCAGCTATCAAATCCCCCCTCAGTCTTCTCTTCTGCAGACTAAACAATCCCAGTTCCCTCAGCTTCTCCTCATAAGTCATGTGCTCCAGCACCTAATCATTTTTGCTGCCCTCCGCTGGACTCTTTCCAATTTTTCCACATCCTTCTTGTAGTGTGGGGCCCAAAACTGGACACAGTACTCCAGATGAGGCCTCACCAATGTCGAATAGAGGGGAATGATCACATCCCTCGATCTGCTGGCAATGCCCCTACTTATACAGCCCAAAATGCCATTAGCCTTCTTGGCAACAAGGGCACACTGTTGACTCATATCCAGCTTCTCGTCCACTGTGACCCCTAGGTCCTTTTCTGCAGAACTGCTGCCTAGCCATTCGGTCCCTAGTCCCTATGCTGAAACCCAAGCTGGCTAGATTAAAGATAACTTGGGTATATCAGCATGAATATGCCCATTATGTACGATGTTTGGGAATGGAAGGGGTAACTCATCATCTGGGATTGTCCTCCGCTCCTTACGCTTCTGGCAGTTTGAGACCCGCAAAGCATAAGGCCAGTCCTTGTCCACTCGTGACAGCACAGAAAATCTCTCAAACATGTTTATTTCTTACCTGTGTGAATCCATTAAATGTGCTGCCGGATGCCTAATAGAAGTGGAAAGCAGAACAAATATAATTAGTTTATTAACTCAGAGAATAAGTCAATATATTCTTAGTTGAAAATTTTTAAAAATGCCAAAAATACACCAAAAATAATATAAAATAAAAAAAAGATGAAGGGCAAGACAGTTAGTGAGAGAAGCTACTTGGTAACATTTTAATAGGCTAAAAAAGGCAGAATGATTGATCTTAGGATTTTGAAAAGACTGTAGGTGTATTTTTTTAGAAAATATAAAATACAAAAATGGGCTTTGATGGTTTAGAGCTGCACCACATTTTGGATAGTTGCATGAGAAATTTTCAACAAGATTAGCAAGGGGTTTAGAGGAGGCAGGGGGAACATGTAAATGGACTGTTTATAAAACACAGGGTTATGTACAACCTAAGGAACTCTTTTTCTAGACTATGCTACACACTGGGGTAGGTACCTCTTCTTTATCAGCCTCAATTTCCTGGTACAATAATCCATATCTCCGGTTAGCAATTTCATCTTCAGATAAATCTGAGTTGTTGGTCTCATTGTCTTTGGGACTAGTTGAACTCTCGGTGCTAGCGTTTCTGGAATTTCCCACTTGAAACAGAACCAAGGGTCTAGCTATCTCCTTGCTTGGTCCAGAGTTGCTAATGCTTGCCTGCTCCCCGGATGAGCCTTGTTTTAAAGATACCTCCTGATTTTTATTGCTTGTGGTTACACCCATGTCTCCCCAGCTATTATCTATACTTCCCAAGCCTTGGGTAGACCATTTATCACTAAAGCTTGGCCAGGTGTTTTCCATATTACTTTCCTCTGAGTCTTGTTGCTTAGGGGGAAAGGGCCAGTTATCAAATCCATTTGTTTGGCCATCTGACAGACTAGAAAACCCCCAGGGATCATTATTAACTGTGGGATCCCAGTTTGCCAGCCAGGGATCTGTTTCCAAGGCTCCTCCAGGGACACTAATGTTACTACTATGGTCTTCGGTCACTGCAGGTGCTGCCCTAACTACCAATTTATCATCCACATTATCTAAACAAGAATCACTGCACTTTGCATTAGCTTTGTCAGCTGACTCAGGCTGCAGTGCCAATTCTTTTTCAAAGGGTATAAAGTCAGCTTGACCTTCATCAGCAGCACTACCATTTTGGAGGGTGCTGAAGCTATTGTCTTCAGTTTCTTTAACAGACTCTTCTGCACTGAATAATTCAGCATCACACAGAACTTTTCCAACATCTGCAGTGTCCTTTTCAGAGTGGTCTGTAACATCTAGGACAACATGTCCCGTAACATTTATGCACTCCATGGCTGTCCTCCCTCCAATAACACTGCCATCATGGTCTAAGTCATCCGAACACTCTGTTTCATGGTCACGATTCCAGTTATCTAAGACATTCTCAGGTTCAACATCAGCACATTCTACATGTTTACATGTGTTCTCTGCTATGTTAGCCCCATCTTCCAACCCTGTACTCAAACTTCCAGGAACTATTCCATCTATCTCTTGAATGACATTTACCCCTTTAAATTTTATTTGCCCATGATTTTCCAGGCCAGTTTCCTCAAGGTAATTGTCAACAGTTGTTTCAGTTTGCCCATTATTATATTCTGACTCCCATACAGTTTCTATCTCAGTGTTTTCTAGGATTTCATGGTCTCGTTTTGCTAAGCCCTTAAGAGGTTCTACTTCACTGTGTTCTTTATTTTCATAATCTGTCTCTTCAAACTCCTTTGTATGTTTTATCTCCTTGAAGTTAACAGCTCTGGTCTCTACCTTTTCACATGGCTCCACACCTGCCCACATAGACTCTTCTTCCTCCTGCTTCTTCTCCTCTGCCTTTTCCACATCATATGGGGATTCATCCAATAAGCTATCAGTTCCAATGATAGGCATCTCACAACTGGATTCATTCGCTAAAGGCTGATCAGTCTCCAAATCTTTGCCTGGGATATTTCTAGCATCTGAATGTGCCTTCAGTGAAGTCCTCTGATTTTCATCTATAGAAGATGACCCTGGTGCATGATCTTCCTGCTCACCTACAGCAGGCCAAACACTAGCAGACAATGTACCAGTGGATTCTCTTGAGGTTTGCTCTGCCTCAGGGAAAGGCAAAGGACCACCTGCAGTGATCTCCTGGCTGACACTGGCTGTGCTAAGTTCTAGGCCCCAGTTGAGTGAACCTAGATCAGTTTGGGATCTGTTAATATCTTCTGTTGACCCATTGTTTGGGGTTTCCTCCATGACCAGGTTACACAGGGAAAGACTTTTTGAAGAATCAGGCTTTAGGCAAGCAGAAAAGCAAAGAAAAGAACAAGATGAAAAAGATAACGGTGGACTTGATGAGACAACACAAAATTCATATTATACTATAGTAATTTTAGTTTAAAGATAAAGAATGCAAAATAAGTGAATCAGTTTAAGGAAAAGTTATGTGGTTTGTAATATTTGGAGACAATAGCTAGCAATCTAAAGAATGGTATTGATAGATGACAGAGAGAACTATATTACATCACACTGATTAAAAGATGAATCTAAAACAGTTAGAGGTTTAGGAGGTTTGCTTACCGGCTGCACCAGTTCACTGCTTGTCTGTATGGAAGAAAACCATATAAATAAACAAATGTAACACTAAACCCTGTGGTTTATCTAAACTACGGATTTTTTTTTCAGTGCCATATGGATTACCAATGGTTATGGAGCTGGCAGGGGCTGCTCAGAGCTGGCTGATCACATGGTGCTGGCTCTCTTCCATGTTTCCAGCTGCTAACTCACATTAGTAGCTAAATGTATATGAAATAGTTCTCTAACACTGTTGTCCCGTGTAAGTAATTTCTGCTTGTCCCAAGGATCTCATTCCATCACCAACAGAAAGGGAGATCGCTCTGTGTGATCATGAACAGGATGGGAAGTGATCCAAAAGACAATAGGTCTGGTCTGTGCAGTGTAATTGTAGCTGTGTTGGTCCCAGCATACTAGAGGGACAAAGTAATACTAGAGAGACTGACAATGGGTCTGATGTCATTTAAACTAGGTCCCTTTACACAACCCCCTGGCAGGGGCCTTCCTGTAAAATAGGTCTGATTCTCTGTTACCATCCACCTTGCATAGACATTTGCATCGGTGCCAAATGGGTGTAAAACGCTGCCAAATTAAAATGCCAGCTATTTACAAACACTTTGCACAAATGACTACACAAAGCGCAGGGCAAAGGTGAATCTGGCTCAGTTTTTCTGTTAAGAGGAAGTTCACAACATAATAAAGCTTGTGAAACCCCTGAGCCAAACTATTTAACAGTGAAGCCCTTGTCAAGCTTGTTACTTGTTTTAACAGGAGTGGAGAGAACTAGAATTAGCTATAAAAAAGAAAAATATTGACAAGCGACAAAGGAAAAATGTGAGACAAGCAGACTTACATAAAACATCTACTATTCATTCAGTGTTATAACTTCAAGAGGTTCTCATGGCATTTACACTGGCTTTGAAATTAAAAGTAAAAAATTAAATTCTAACTAATATGTGTAAATGAAACCTTAATTTTTGTTCTGGACTCTGTTTAATCCTCCCTAAGAAGCAGAGATGAGCATTATAAAAGCATCACACTTGCTATCTATTCATGCAACAGGGCTGTAAATTTTGCTTCTTAAGGCCTTGAGTCAACAGAAAAGATCCACAGATTTATGCGCTACTAAAGTCTGCACAAGGTCACAGATTAGAGTTCTTTGGTTCCTCAGGCGGTCTAGACAGCCATCACTTTGACACAAAGTAGGAAGAAAGCTCATGAAAATGAGCCCTCTTCTTCCTGCACATCATTATACCTGATTCAGCAGCAGGAGACAGGAGAAAGAGCAATTGCATTTTCTATAGCAGTAGCTGATTTTCTAAATACCAGCTGATGGTATGTCCACTGTTACTTTTAAATTTACTGTATTTAAAGATCAATTCTCTCTCCACCCCTGAATTTTGAAAAATAAAAAATTAGGTGTCTATTGAAAGGAAGTTCAAAGGAAATACAACTTCAGACATCTGAAAACAGGTGACCAGTAGCATCCATTACCACCCTCCAATAGCTATTAAATACATGAAAATAAAAGCAGAAAATAGCTGTAATCAGCTTGACTGAGAAAACCCTCAGTACAATTTCTCAATATAAATATCTCTTCTTCGTTAGCCCTGCCCAGAAGCTGAGTATCTCCTTCTCTTCATATAAAATTGCTTTCCACCTCTGTGACCAGATGCCCTATTTCTGGCCCCAGAGCTCCCAAACCCGGTTTGGTTTCCCTGCTGGCCTGTAATGCACCCTAGGAGGCTTTGCATGTTGCGCCTGAAGCGGTGGACACGAGGCAAAACTTTCTGGGGTCTATTACTGCTGCTGCTGCACGGCAAACAAATGGGTTCAGGAGTGCTGAGGATATTCATGAAAAACTAGCACAGCAGAGATGTAGGGAAAAGATGTAAGGCCAGATGCTCAGCTCATATAAATAAGCTCCAGGGAAACCAACTATGCTAATTGACACTGGCTGAGGTTCTAGACCATTTACTTTTGTCTCTCTGTGCTTTACATGGGATGGGTGAGGAAGAATTGTACATATGAATCCCCTGCATATGATACATCTGTTCAGCAGGTAATGCAGGATTTAGAGAGAAGGTTCACTTTAAATCATTTAAATCTGGGAGTTGTTTTCCTCTTGGGATGAAATTAACTCCACCTCCAGCGTGATGTGACCATAAATGGACAGCTGGGAACATATCTAAGCTCTTACCAAAACAGGCTGTCTAGGACCTCATTCAAAACTTATTGACTTCAATGGGCTTTAGATCAGATCCCTACTGTTAAGCTTTCTGACCTGGATTATGGCTTTGCATCATATTGTTTTACATGTAGGCATTTAGATAGGGAAGTCTTATTTTGGCTATCAATTAAGAACAGCCAAACCTTCCTTATACATCTCAGAAACCCTCTATGTGCATCTTCAAGGGGACTCCTAAATAACATTCCCTAATGGCTTTATACAGTACTCGGGATGGGATGAGCAACAGCTCTTGGGAGTGGAGCAGTGGCTGCACCAAAGGCATAAATGTACATTATTAAAATAGGATTTTGGCTGATTAATTCGGCTATAGAGCTATGGTAGAACTCTGGCTGAAGATCCTATTTCCTTTTAAATTAAACCCCCAGAAAGATTTGTTGTATATGAGCTAGATGATAAAGGTCATAAAACATTGTTACTATACTGCAATTTGTTGTTTGCACTAATCAACAAAATAAATCACTTTAAATTACCTTGGTAAAAATGACTTTATCGGACCTTGAATCACCAGCATGGCAATTTTAAAGCCAAAAAATGTCACAAGTAGAAAAATCCTATTAACCTGGATGACTGTAGCTCTTTGTTTTTTGTTGTCCAAATAATAAAGACATTTTTTTCTGTTCATTCCTAATGGTGTTAGATGGGCTTCACATACTTTAAAATATTTTGGCATTCTCTACAAATGCTTCGTTTTGCCTTATGTGAAAATGATTACAAATCCTCTAGAGTGCTACAGAATCAGAGGCACAGAAACATCTCAATACGCAATGATAAATATTAATCTTACCGTCCATAAATCCCAGGGCAATGTCTGGAAAAAGGGGGGAAAAAGATATTGTTGAAAATATTGTTTGTACACTATATGTTAGAACTTATCTGTATAGTGCTGTAACTATACCCGGTGGTTAAGCACAGCCTTAGTATATTTTTGGGGCTGAGGGAGGGCAAATGGAGGGTTGTGATAGTTACTACTGCAACAAAACTGCACTTGTTCAGTGAGATCACACCACTATGCATATGACTGGCATGCATGGAAAACTTCAGGTTGGGAGGATAGCTCCACCAATGGCTATAAGCAGGGTAGGCCGGGATGCATCCCCACACTCTGAGTGTCCCTGGCCTCTGTTTGCCAGAAGCTGGGAGTGGATGACAGGGGACGGATCACTTGATGATTTCCTGTTCTGTTCATTCCCTCTGGGGCACCTGGCATTGGCCACTGTCGGAAGACAGGTTACTGGGCTAGATGGACCTTTGGTCTGACCCAGTATGGCCATTCTTATGTTCAGGTCTCCCAAGCCTCCTATTGCTGCAGAAATGGAGGCCAGCTACTTGGATCATCAACATAATAGGTACACGAGTTTTGCGAGGGACAGTTGCTCAGATAAGCCAGAGATCCAGTCTCTGGAGGGTCTTGTCATGATCCCTGTGCAAGTCAGGGACGTATTGTTTTATTTTACAGATGGGAAAACAAAAGCAGAAAGACTGTGACTTGACCAATGCCATAGAGGGAATTAGTAACAGAACCAGGAATAGAATTTGGGAGTCTCTTGCTCTCAATTCCTTTCTCAGCACACTGGATTTCTATACCTCTGAATCTATTAAAATATCCCTCCTTGTGAACAGAGATGATAAATGTTAGTGGCTTATCAGAAGAAGGGCCAGCCCAGCTGCATGGCACAGCAGGGAGAAAGCTTGTAGTGACTTTAGCAACATCAGAGGCAGGATGGGTGTCTCTACCTCCCACAGCTATTAAATGATCAAGATTCCTTTCAAAAGATCAAGGGATATGTGGCCATGGTTCCCACAGACCTTAAAGAATAATCTTGTGTGGCTGTTGTAGCAACCCAGGAAAAACCTATGGCTTTAGGTGAAATCAAGTGACAAACTTTAAACCCTCACAATTGGTTTGCATTGGTTTACATTCTGAATGTTCTCACCATAAGCAAAAGGGCCAGAGATGGATGGACAGACAGATGGATGAAAGAAAGCTAAGTTTAGTCCTGACATTAATATTCCCCCACATCCAAAGGGTCTTCATTGGCCTCAAAGGGTAACTGGGACACTTTACAACAGATAAAATAAAAACACAACTACCAGAAAAAAATCAAAAACTGTTTTGAGAACTGCTACTAAATATTTGCCTAACTTGGAGGATGGAGCATATTGCATTTGCCTTCCTGTCTTGCTAAATGCCTGCACCCTAAATTTTATGAAGGCCCGAAGCAAGTCTGCAGCTTATGTAATGAACTACTTCAATTTTTTATGACTACAAACCCCTTTTCATAAATCAAAATCAATTACTTCAGTACCCAGCTTTACTGTGGATGAACATCATCATCCAGTTCTCAATTAGTTTATTCCCAGATAAGTATTTCTTTTATGGACATATCTCAATTGATAATTATCCACATGCATCTTAATAAGTCTATTAGTTAACTGTCAATACTTTCCTGAAAAATTATGGGCCCAGTTCTGCAACCTTTGCTCAAGGAAATGATCAGACCAATTGACGCTAAAAGTCCCATTGACTTTAGTGGTACTACATATGTGAATGAGAAATAATTGTAAAGTCAAAGTTGGAGGGGTGCATCCCATGCTGGTGTCTGATGTTAGTATTACAATTAAGGAGCTACCAGTATTTCCATTAGAAACCCTGTTTTGAGTTGTGGCTTTTTTGTTAGTGACAATAGTGGTGTTTGGGAAAATGTCTTTGCATCCCTTTATCTCTCCTCCCCCACAATGTACTAATCTTTCCCAATCCTTAAAACTCCATGGTGTGAAGGCAACTCAACTCTGGCATGTCAGCAGAACTATTTCCCTCAATTCTACTATTTTAAAAAGCACAAAAATTAAATTCCACAATAGTGGTCTCTCTTAGGCTGATGGAGATGTCTGTAAACACACTCAAATAGCATTAACTTGACTGTTCAGATGCAAAATACCAACAGCCAAAAGAATTTAAAGTAACATTAACTCTAAGGGATGTTATCTCATTCCCATCTGAGGAAAAGGTGGATTTAAGATGTTAAAATCAGGCACTTGTGGGTGATATGGAGATTTGACAGCTGGGAGGTGCGGCAGGACTGCGTGCTCTGGGAGACAGGATACCAGCAGGACTCAGAATGAAGGTCAGAATGTTTCTCTGGCTGGGTTTATTAGCTGGGGTGATAGAGACTAGGTGCTTGTGGGGTGCATGTGTAATAATTACTGGGGAGAGAAGGGACAGAACACAGAGAGTGGTCTGGACTGTGAGGGTGTTGGGAGGTGGGAAAGTTACTGCTGGAAGAGTGGGGTAGGCAGAGGGAGAATAGTCCCCAGGCACTTGTGGAATGAGGGTTACAGAGATGGAAAGGAGGTGGGGCAGAGAGGAGAGCAGACAGGGGCACTTTTCAGGGTCTGTTTGCAGTTGAGGGAGTGTGGTGGGAGAATTAAATGGCAGGTTGGGAAGGCATTTGGGAGCCATTGCACAAAAGACTATGTTTATCTTCACTACACTGCCTCAGTGCAGTTTACTGAGAGAGAAAAAACAAACCACAACAAGAACACCGAATGGTCTAGAAGACAAGGAGTTGGAGTAAAGCCAACACAAACTCAGAAAATGCACGTAAGGCAGGAACTCCATCCTTAGCGTCCCCCTCCCAGCCAGTATTACAGGGCTTTCCAAACACTGAGATCACAGATTTCATCCAGTTACATCTAGTCAGAATAGTGGATTGTAAGTGAATTGTAATCCTCAAAGATATCCTCCAAGTAGGGGTAGGCACAGAGCTATGTCTCACCCACACAAAAGATAATCCCCCTTCTGCATGTTTGGGGGGGAGGGGGAGTGTTTAGTGAATGTCTCCTATGCACCTAGTTGGTGACAATGTACATAGTCTCTGTTTAATAGTTCTCTATATTTCATGTGGGCAAATATTTCCATCCACTGCAAAAATAAAACCTACTGTAATTTGTACATTACGCTGTCAGCGCTCGAATGCTCTTTTATGAAAGTTTCATGTTTTGTGTTTAATTCTCTCATTTCTCTAATCATGTTCAGGATTATTAAATGAGGAGCTGAAAGGGCAGAGCTCGCAGAGTCAAAGCTGGAATTTTCTGTCAACACTGAATGCATAAATCTAAATCCACGGATTCTATTTTTTACAGGGAGGGGAATTAAATAACAAGCAGGATGTGACAAAGCTCCATGATCATTAAACATTGAAAACTGCAATGAGAAATCTGACTTGCAGTTTGGAGTGCTGATAGTGTGATGTTTTTCTGTCTCCACATGTATCAATGGAAATCACCACAGATCTATTATATAAACAGGCGTGCTCACCAAATAAATTAATTCACAGAGAGAAAGATCAGCAGAAAACCTGGATTGTCTCAATCACCTGGCTTGTCTTCTCACTCCTATACCACTGTTGAACTGAACAGTTGATTTAGACTCTAACTACATTACAGTTCAAACCATGTCAGGCCAGAATCACACTGAAACGTGGTCCTTGCTAGCAGTGTGTTAACATGGTTTCTCTGACTGCTGTACAAGAGGCAGGTCCATGCTGGCCAGAGAAATTCTTATCACCTCACTAGCAATAAGTATAATTAGAAAAGATTCTATTAACATTATTTAGTACCAATATAGACAGAAGCTTAAAATTGCAGCTTCACTAGGTCAAGCCAGCAGAAAGCCAGCAACTCCTATATCACCCATAATTCTGCTGAGGGAAGCTACTTTCGGTCAACGTGGCATAGATCATTATATAGTACAGAATAATTCTTCCCTATAATATCCCACATGAAAAAATGTGAGACCGTTTTATTTTCTTTTTCTTATAGTTACAACTAAAACAGATTTATGAAAAAGAAAGCCAATCAGGTCGTATTCTATACTTAGTACAAAGACTCCATTACAGCATAGTGGTAGTATGCTGCCCCTATAACTGAGTGTCTCCTGAGCCACAGACAGTCATAGCTGGATTTTAAAAAAAGAACCTGTCAGCAAAGCAGGCTTGGGAAGATTACAACATTTTTTCTGAGTTATTCTATAGTTTGAGAAAAAGGTATAATGTCAGAGTCAAAGCCATCAGTTACAGGTGGCTGCTCTCCTTGACTATAATCTCATGTTAGCCTGACACTTCTCTCTCCTCCCCTACCCTATCATCAGGTTGTACTGGTATTGCTGAAGTAGGAAGATGGAAGGCTAATGAGAACTCAGGGAGATCAAGTTTTTCAGAAATTGTAAATCCATCATTCATTAATTCATGAGGCAGATGTTTGTTACCAAATTCAGCACACTCTATTCCTGTATAGCATACCTCTAGCAAAGAAATACCTGAGACATGGGTGAGTGGGTTAGGGTTATTCCTGTTGATACCACTTCTGGCTTGAAAGGGTCAAAGTCCAGATCTAGCAAACATTCCTCTTTCTTAGCTTCGGGAGCTTCATTCTGTTGGAGAAGAGATGCTCACTTAAAACTCATAGAGAAACCACACTGTACAAGCAAAATATGAAGGCTTCCCATCTACCTGCAACCAGAGGGAAAAAGTTCTCTAAAGACTTCAGAGAATTCTCCATAGAATTCAAGGTTCACGACTGCCAGCCCTGAAAAAGCTATAGGGTAAGATTTTTTTTTTAAAGCCAAAGAGATTTGGATGCCTAATTCCCATCGGGCATCCAACTCCTTGGGGTCCTCGGAAAATCCCAACCATAATGCTCAACTGTTTGTGAAAAATTAATATAAAAGGACAATGAATACAAATTTCACTCTAATAAATGTCTGTGACTCCAAACTGTAGAGTCATCCACAACCCTGCTTAAATCTTGCTACAGGGACCTGTCCAAAGTCTGCATTAACTACAGTAGCACTTTTCTTATTTGCAATTTATGAATAATCAAGTAAGGTCCTGATCCCAAACTCAATGGAGTCAATACAAATATCAGGCTTTGTGTGAACAAACATGAAAAAATAACTAGAATACCGCATAAGAAAATGCTTCTTTTCACTAATTTCACAGTTACAACTTAGATTTAATTATTTCTCATAACTGTCTAGTAAAAAGTCTTAGATTTTGCAATGAGACCTCACTAAAGCATTTGTTTTTTAAATTTTGGCAGAAAAGTAGGTAAAGAAACCACTGTTTTTTTACGTATGAATTGTGGAGTATGCAGGTTACTGAAGTGTTAATTTGCGAGGCTCTGCTGTATTATTTTTAAAGGAATTCAGGTTAGCCACACTATTGGTGAATGATAAAATACCACACACAAACACCTCTCTGGTGGCTAATAGTCTAAACAGATAGGTCCAGAGTTTTAAAATAGTTAAGGGTGAAAACACTGTAAATGAACTCTACTACTGGGAAATGGCAGGTTCAGATGTGTCTAATTAGATAATTTCTCATAAAAAAAAACTGACCTGCATGCACAAGCATGGCAACTGTCCCAGGCAAATTAGGTGCAAACATTATCTGAAAATCAGGCTAATAATATTTTCTATGAATTCATATACTTCATTTTAAAGCTGTATATACATACAATTTGTAGACTTATATTCAACGCAAGGAATTACACTGCTAAAAAATATCCCTCTGATGTTGATTTTCATATGAACTGGCTCGCAGTTATACATGGAGGAGTTCCAGTTAGGATTGAGCATAATCCTATGTCACACAGATATATTGAAAATATAATAGATAATATGACTCAGGTAATTAACATTCCTCCCCACCCCCGCACACACACTAGAATTATATCCTTTGTTAAGATTTGTCAAGTCAGCTTCTCAGCAATATTTAGATTTTATTACACCATAATCTTGAGGTACTAGCAAGGCCGGCCTTACCTAAAATGGCACCCTGGGTGAGGCTAACAGTGGAGCTGGGTGGGGCGTGGAGCTTGCAGAGAGGAGGTGCAGGCAGAGCGGGAGATGGGGTGGACTGGAGCTGGAGCTGGGGATGGGGGAGGAGCTATACTGGAGGTGGAGCTGGGCAGGGGGGCAGAGTAGGGTGACCAGACAGCAAGTGTGAAAAATCGGGACAGGGGGTGGGGGGGTAATAGGAGCCTATATAAGAAAAAGACCGAAATATCGGGACTGTCCCTATAAAATCAGGACATCTGGTCACCCTAGGGCAGAGGTGTAGGCAGTGCAAGGGATGGGGCAGATCAGGACTGGAGGTGGACCGCGGCTATGAGGTGAACAGGTCTGGGGAGTGGAACCGGAGGGGGGGTTGGGGGGAGGCTGTTATTGTGACACTCTCTTGATGCACGGCACCCTGGGCGGTCGCCCTCGTCAACCATCCATAAGGCCGGCCCTGGGCACTAGCACTCATATAGTTATACAGCTTCATGAAATAACTCAGAATGTTAACCAGTATGTAATCAGAAACAGACTGAGTACAGAGAAATTAATTATCTTTTACTGAGACTTGGGAAGGAAGCTGTTATTTATGAGAACTGAAACAAATGAGTGGGAGTCTCATTTAATCCCTGCAAAGTGACAAGGTGAAGTATCTGTTGTGATAGGATATGGACTGTTCAAGAGATTATTACATCATCAGCTACCTTTAGGCCAAAATGAACAGCATGCTCATTTTAACTCTAGAAAAAAACATCTCAGAAGAAAGATATAGTTTAATTTAGATACTGAATTATATGAAAACTTAGGAAAGCGAAAAAACAATAATAAAGACGTGAAACACATAGAAATGTCTAACAAATTACTCTGTATATTCTGTAGATTAACGCCTGTAGAACGGGATGAAGCATGAACAAACAATGGCATGATCTACCTCCAAGAAGGCTTGAACTGGGAGTGTATTGCAAAGGCAAGATTGTGCCTGTCTAAGCACAAGTGTGCAAGGGAGGAGGAAGATGCAAGAAATGTAGGCACCCATGCTAGGGATCAGCATGATGTGCCCTTTGCCACCCTCTCAGTACAAAGACTATGTAAGCTCATTGTCAGAACTAGCCCCTCCAAAACAGATATAAAGGGGTGGGCAGGGGACAGGGCCATTGCTTTGCTTCCTCACCAGGAAGAGTCAGTGGAACTAGCTCGGTGCAGTGGGGAATGCATGCTGTAGCCTCTTCAAGCCTGACTCAACAGCCATGCTCCCCAACCCTCACTAGAGCTCTGGGAGGCATTGTATGTGAGATTTTCAGCATCGGCCTCATGCTGCTCCCACTGAAACAAGTGAGAGTGTTCCCACTCACTGCAATGAAAGCAGCGTTAGGCTAAAGCTGAGTATATTGTCAAAAATCCCCCCTCACACCTGCTTCATCTCTCTAACTAATGTATTTGGCACCCAGAAATTACAGTGATGGGAATAAGCATGGGAACGGCTCATAATCATTTTCTATTTTGTTTATCTGGCGGTTCAAATCCTGAAAATAAAACAATAATGTAAACAGCAAAAATTATTATTATGCAAGTATTGCAGTGACACCTAAAATCTCTAAATTGTGTCAAATACCTTCAGTATCCCAACCTAACGCTGTCTGAAGAGAGGGGTGTGAGACCAGGGAAGAAGAGAAAACACATAACAAAGCAACAAAACACAATTCTAAATTATCACCTTCCTCTGCTCTCCCAAGATGTCAGTTTTCTCTATGTCTGTCTTTTAGTCAATGGGAATTAAATGCTTTCCTGAAAAGGGATGGACATAAGCATGTCCATATCTACTTTCCTGAATCACAGCCCTAAATTTTAAACTCTCTCAGGAAGGACTGTCTTTATTTTTACATCTTGTGCAGCACCAAGCACATTGTTGGTGCTTATTAAACAAACAAACAATGACCAATTATCATAATAGTTTTTTTTCCCCTTGTGCTGGAGGGGAAAGGAGGAGGCACGCTCTGAACTATTGAAAATCCTTTTCGAATGTGCAACTAGCGCAGCATGGCACCACTCATCAATCTGTGGCTTTGGTGTTTCTTAACTACAGTAAAAATGCCACTGAACGATTTAATAATTGTTTTAAAGCTCTGCACCAGTAGAAGGCTTTGTGGGCTTGATGGCATTCAGGCCACTCGGAACTGAGTGCCAAACCAACTGGAGTAACACAATACTACATACATAATATATAATGTAAAAGTGTATGAGAGGTGAGTATGCTTTCTACTCTTTTCATTTATTATATTTTCAATAATTACTTCCCTTATAGAAACCTACAACACTCAATAACACCAGGAGTAAAAACATCATATTCTCTCTGTGCATGCATATATGTTTACCCCAAATTCTTAGTTACATTAAAGACCCTTTACACCGTTTGGCAGTGTAAAAGGGCCTTGAAGGTGGCAGAAATGTGACTGACCTTCATTCAAGGCCCTTTTACACTATTAGATTTTAGTGTAAATGAAAATCAGGCCCACCGCTATCTATCAATCTATCTAGACAGATGCAAATTAGATAGATATAGTATTTAATGCAGGGGGTTATATTCAGGAACAGGTTAGAATGGCACCTTCTGCGGAAGCCAGGATTCACTTTCCCCCACAGTGGCAAGTCCACATGAACTCAGAATGCTGTGGTGCAAGGCACCTGAAACACTCTGTCAGGGCCCTCACAACCTACCTGCAAAGGCCTCACAGTTAGTGGTTTTCGCCCAGGAGGGGTGTGTGGCCATGGTGGTCAAGGCACGCACTGTTTCACTACATCCCTCTGCCAGCAAGGCCCCTATGGGGCACTGATTATAAGGGGTTGTCTCTACTACAAGCGCTACAGCAGCACCGCTCGTGCGGCAACTGTGCCACTGTAGTGCTATGGTGTCGATACCTACGACAGCAACGGAAGGGGCTTTTCCATCACTGCAGTAAATCCACTGCCTCCAGAGGTGATAGCTAGGCCAAAGGAAAAATTCTTCCATCGACCTAGTTGTGTCTGCAGTGCGGTTCGGTCAACCTAACTACGTCACACAGGACATGACATTTCTCACAGCCCTGAGCGATGTAGCTAGGTTCAAGGTGACCTAAGTTTAAGGTGTAAGCCAGGTCTAAATTAATGCTGTCTTCACCAAGGTAGAATCCTTGCGAAAGGTGGCATTGCATTTTTGTCAAGAAAATCGAAATATTACTTGAACTGAGTCTGGAATCTAATTTTGTTTTTCTTAATTCTGTTTACACCCTCTTGATCTTATATAACTGTAGGTGAAAATATTAACTCTCAAACACATACCACATTAATTCATACTTTTTATATTTGTACACAGCATACCAGACCTAGGCTCAGATTTCAGACCATTTGTACCTATAACTACCATGACTGTGCCTGCAATCACAATAACTAAGTGAAATTTATGCATGAACATTTTGCACAACTAATTTTTGTTATAGGTATTTGAACCTAGACCATTTTTTATTTTATTTTACAGTATAATTAGACTAAGAAATCAACTTATCTTGTACAGTGCATTGTTGTGTAATTAATATTCACACAGGTCAAAACCAGAGAAGTACCTGATTCAGTTGGGGATACTTTGTATGAATACATGCAAATATATATTTTGCTTTCAATACACACAGTCATGGAGATATTTGCACAAAAACATAACTGAAATCACAGAGTGTCACCCTCCCCTCCCACCTCCCCCTGCTTTCCCCAGTCAGAATCAAGAGAGAAAGATTTTTTTTTCCTCGTGATTTTGTTGGAAGCCCATAAATTAGCCCAGGATTGCTCAAAAGTGGATTTTGTGATATTTGGAAGCATTAGGCTTTAAAAAAAACTAGGCTGAATTTTTAATAAAACCTGAAATCAGATGAGTGTCAAGTTTAGTTACAAACATTTCACAGGCCTTTTAGCTGTAGCCATCCTCAGTAAATCGTATTTCTTCATTTTTTCAATATGCCATCACTGCTAATCCTTTTGAGAATGAACAATATGTATAACTCATTCAACGATACTATAAAAGATCAGGGTTGCATGCCCTCTGCACTCAGAACCTCAACTGACATTAATAGTAGTCTCCCTCTTGGAGAATTGGAGGATTTGCAAGATTAGACTCATATTGTAGCAACCCATCTCCGAGACTGACCTGTGAAGGAGTCGTCACACTGATTTCTGGTACAAAGTTGTCCTCAAAGAAGCTGATGATATTCTCCTGCTGCAGCTCCTTTGTGGGTGTGAGTTTAGGCATCGGTGGGACAGGAGGCCCTTTCCTCAACTAGGCAAAGAGCAAAAATGTCACGAAGTAAAACCTTAAGGCAGATATAATGGAATTAATTTTAGGTTTTAAGTAGGACTAAAATAAACAGTTCATCTTAAGTATTTTGGGGTTAGATTCTGATCTCAGTTGCTTCAGTGCAAATCTGAAGTAACTCCACTGACCTCAGCAACTCCACTGTTGTAATTCAGATCAGAAACTCACTGTCTGACTGTTCAAAATCATCTGGTTTGAGGGAAGAAAACATTTTTAAAAATAAATCTCTCACATCTATGGGGACTCCAGTTGAGAGGATTAATACGACAGCATTTCTTGGCTGAAGATTCAAACTATTAGGGTAATAGGCTGGAAGACACTTCACCTGCAACATAGTAGCATCATTTGCACTGTCGTGTTGCACAGAAACTTAACTCTCTCATTACTTGTTTGCTTAAACTTTCTTCAGTTTATGTCATTTTTCTGACTCATGTTCACCCATTATTTAAGGCTGGTAATGTTAAGTAGCTGGCAGGACTGGGAACTAATGTCCATTTTCCCTAAGACTAAGGGAACGTCTATGCTGCCCCGAAGTTTGGACCATGGAGGTGTGAATAGCAGTGTGTTCCAAAGTGCTGCGTTGTAACTCCCCTGTGTGGACGACAAAAGGTGCCAATCATCTACATCAAAACTTTTTTCTTGACTGTGGCTTCTTATCCAATAGAAAATATGTAAGATTTTCTTTATTTAAAACTACAAGCAAGCATTCCAGAATGAAATCAATTAAAGGCCAGTGATTTAGCCTGAAGTTTCCTAGTCCCCATTTGATAGGCTAGGTACAATACTGTATATATTACTGTTCGAAAGGAAACTTGAGTGCCTATAGAAAAATCTTATTTTATCCTTGCGCTATTATACTCTAGTTTGACATAAACTGCTTCACCCTGACACAGGATTTGTTAAATTTTGCAGTTACAAAAGTTATTTGCTGTGGTGACATGTTTCAATGTGGAATAATCTATTGGTAAATAAATATTTTGGAATTTTCTGTTTTCCAGGGAAACCATCCAGTATATTGTCTGGGATAGAGTACATTGCCACAAAACTACAATATTTTTTTAAAGTAATCTTTTTACACTTATCATTAATATTAGGGGTCTTCAAATTTCAGATGCAGCCATCAAAGGCTTGTGCCTCAAATATGAAAGAATGAAAAATAGCAGGTCTTTTAGGACAAGTTTTTAATCTTTGTCTTGTGGGTCCTGATCCAAAGCTGAGTGAAGTCAATGGGAATCTTTCTATTGACTTTCTGGGCTTTGCCTCAGCCCTTAGGGCAGAATCCATCAAAGACAGGCAAACAAAAACAAAGATTGAACTCATGGTCCTCAATCAGTAAAGCACGCAAGTAATCGTGCCTCTAATCAGCAACAACACTTAAGTATGTGCTTAACTTTAAGGACACATTTATGTCTCATTGATGTTAATGAAACTACTCACCTATGTAAGTTAAACATAGGTGCATGAGTATTTGAAGGATTGGAGCTGATGGCATCACATATGTATTTTAATTGCATTTTTCTCTCTTTTAAAATATATATAATATATGCATTTTTTCAAAATTTTCTACAACCACTACAAATTCCTAGATAAACAACTCTGGAGTGCATGAATGAGGCTTAAAGAGGAGAAAGTGTTATTTCAGGACAGAGGGGAAACTTTAGGTCAGAGAAAGTTTGTGGAGTGTCAAACTATATTAAGCATTTGAGAACAGAGGGATGGCGTAATACAGAAAACGATTTCCCTTCAGCATCCCATTAGCTCAGGGGTGGGCAAACCTTTTGGCCAGAGGGCCACATCTGAGTATGAAAACTGTATGGCGGGCCATAAATACTCACAAAATTGGGGTTGGGGTGCAGGAAGGAGTCAGGGCTCTGGCTGGGCATTCAGGCTCTGGAGTGAGGTCAGAAATGAGGAGTTCAGGGTGTGGGAGGGGGCATTGGGCTGGGGTAAGGTGTTGGGGTGCGGGATCAGGGCTCCAGCTGGGGATGCAGGCTCAGGGGTGGGGCTGGGGAGAGGGGTTTGGATGCAGGAGGGTGCTCCGGGCTGGGATCGAGGGGTTTGGAGGGCAGGAGGGGGATCAGGGCTGGGACAGGGGGTTGAGGTGTGTGGGGAGGCTCAGTGGTGCAGGCTCCGGGCGGCGCTTACCTCAAGGAGCTCCTGGAAGCAGCAGCATGTCCCCCCTCCGGGTCCTACATGGATGCACGGCCAGGCGGCTCTGCATGCTGCTCCATTTGCAGGCGCCACCCCTGCAGCTCCCATTGGCCATTGTTCCCGGCCAGTAGGAGCTGTGGGGGCAGCGCTTGGGGCGGGGACAGCAAGCGGAACCCCCTGGCTGACCCTAAACATAGAAGCCGGAGAGGAGATATGCCTCTGCTTCCGGGAGCTGCGCGGAGCAGTCACTGACTCCGCTCCCCAGCTGGAGCGCGGGAGCGGGACAAGGCCCAGACCCTGCTCCCCAACCGGAGCTCGAGGGCCGGATTAATTCGGCTGGTGGGCCGGTTATGGCCTGCGGGCTGTAGTTTGCCCCCCCTGCATTAGATCATCAAGTTTAATTTTCAACATGGCATTAACCAAATCAAACAGTGTTGACTTAATTGACACCAGGAATTTTTTTTCAAAATGCCATTGAGCTGTGTGGCTGAAATGAGAAATTATGCAACATTTCTTAAAATCTAGTAATATTTGTCCTTTTTTCATCTTGATCGACTAAAGCATTTAACATACATGTGTAACTAAGTATTTGCGTAGCCCCATTAACTACCTACTTTCTTAAGTGCTTTACTTGATAGAGGCCTTAATGATGATGCACCCATGAATTCTGTGATTATAACTGTGATAAACAGCACAAAGCAGAGATGGTAGAAAAGATAACATTCAGGGTCTACAGCCAGGAACTAACAAAGTCTAAGGACATCTACTGTACAGTAGGTCTGTACAGCATTGTTTCCTGCACTGAGAAGAATCTGGTGGTAGACAGCACTGCACTTTTCCAGATGTAACTAGCATGCTGTGATGACACATTTCTTACAACGTGACACAGAAAAAGTGACAAAATAAATCAAATCATATTTATTCTTTAGGAAAGGAAACTATAATCCCTCTGATATCACAAGGATAAAAATAGTCCAAACTATGGATTTACCATGACTAATACCTAATATAATATTCGTGCCTATGAAAATGTAAAAAACAGGCATATAAATCTTGGGCAGACCCTCAAATGATGTAAAGCAATGTATCTCCAATGAAATCAATAGGGCAACACTGAATTACACCAGCTGAGGATCTGGTCCTTCAGTGCTGCAAGTAGACTGTGAGTTACAGAGGCAAGCAGTGTAAAAAACACACTCTTCAGAGACAAATAATGTCATGAAAATACAATTATTTTTTAACTGTTCCCCATATAAAAAATAGGGATTGCCCCATATGCTGCAGTACCACTATTTTACATACAGTATGTCAAACTACTGTCATATTTTTACTGTAACTTAAAAAAATGTAATTCTGTAATCTCTTTCTTTTTATAAGGGTATTAGCTGTGTTGTTCTTGTTTTAATTAAACTTTAAACACTGCCTTACTATTGAAACTATATGCTTGGTATATGTGTAAAGCATCATATACAATTCTTACACTACTGAAGTTGCCATTAATGAGCCTGATTCTTATCTCACTTACACTGATGAGAATCATGAATGATTCCATCGAGATCAAACTTCTCACTCTAGTATAAAATCAGTATAACTGGACAATCAGGTCCAATAAGTATTTTGCCAAAAATTACCACAGTAGTACAGTATTTGAGCTACCACAATTATTCCTTATCCCAGGGGTCGGCAACCTTTCAGAAGTGGTGTGCCGAGTCTTCATTTATTCACTCTAATTTAAGGTTTCGCGTGCCAGTAATACATTTGAACGTTTTTAGAAGGTCTCTTTCTATAAGTTTCTAATATATAACTAAACTATTGTTGTATGTAAAGTAAATAAGGTTTTTAAAATGTTTAAGAAGCTTCATTTAAAATTAAATTAAAATGCAGAGCCTCCCGGACTGCTGGCCAGGACCTGGGCAGTGTGAGTGCTACTGAAAATCAGCTCACGTGCCAGAGGTTGCCTACCCCTGCCTTATCCCAAGGAAAGCAAAAATTATGGTATCTCAGATAGCACTGTGTGGTGACAACGCCTGCTTAATGTTGACTTTTTAATGGCAATGCTGTGCATAAATAGTCAATAATAAAAGAAAATGTAATCTACAATTCTATTTTTGTATTAATACACATACATGTTTTTAAAAGTTTTTCATATGGTAATTTATGTGCTAGATAGATCTAATTCCCATGAAAACCCTGAATATGCATCCTTTTAAAGGTTCTATTCATAAGTATCTCAACACGTACATAGTTCAATCAGCACTACTTTCTAGTCTCAATCCGTTCTCCCATCATCTGTTCTTAAGATCAGTTTCAACAAGCACCTGCAACAGGGGAATGAACAGCTGGGGCAACTCATGGTGTCACAGCCCTTCCTGACAAAGCCGCGTCAGTGCGGCTCACCATCACTCTTCATTTTAATTTAGAAATCACTCCTCCTGCACTCCAGCACTCACCACCCAAATGTAAATCTCACCGAATTTATCTGCTGTGGAATCTCCCACAATAGCTCATCTACATCTGTGTAAGAGGTCCGCTCCCCAGGTTAGCTTTGCTCTTACCTGTGAAGGTGATTTAGGCCGAGCTGGTGCAGGAGATGAAACAGGTGCCAGTGTATGATTGGGACTAGATGAAGGGCTAGGCAGGGGAGAAGCCTCCTCAGGGGGCGATGGTGTTTTCGCAATGCGGAGTGGACCTGAGTCACTGGATGAACACAAAGTAACAAGTTCTGAATATATCATGAGGCTTCACTGACTTTATACCATGAGTTACATTTCTGAACCCTTTGAGAAATGTAGGTTTCTGACTCTATAGCCTCAAATAATGATATTTTTGACACAATAGTTGAAATGCATCCCTGGCATCAGGGATGTATTTGGCATCTTATGTAATTAAATAACTAAAACAGTGATTAAATTCAACCTATCAATGAACTATAGTGTCAAAGGAAATCCTTATTTTCTAGAGGTTGTTTTCTAGAACATCTACTGTTCTCGTGCCTATATCTTCAAAAAATAGAGTCCTTACATTTCAGAAGCTTCTGTATTTGAAATGATTTCTCATGTCAGTTTGAAAGTATAATAAAATGTGAATGACAATTATTGTCATTAACTCATTAACCAATTTACTTTACACAGCTCACAATCTAAAAGGCTCCAGTGATATACAATCCCAGTTCAAGGCTCAATAATAAATATTAGTAATCATGCAGAACAACAGCTATAAGACGAAATTTAATCAAAAACCAAAGTATACTACTAATTATCGGGCCACATTTTCAGCTCGTGTAAATCAGCATAGCTCAGTTGATTTTGTTAGTGCTACATCAATTTATACCAACTGGATCAGACTCAAAATCTGAGGGACATTTTACTGTCTAGAGATTTCTAAAGTCTAATATTGAAGAAAACAGATTTTTCCTTCTATAATTAATGAGCCTACAGTCTACAGCGTTCTATGAGCACAGTATTCAATAAGAGGAGAACTGGCCGTACGTATCTTTAGGGAGAAGTGAAGCATTACATGATTGAGGAGACCAGCCACAATCATGTTCTTAACACTAAAGCAAAGCAAATTTATTCTTTGGCAAGAATATATTTTAGCTCACACTCACCACCTCTTTCTGTGGAAATATTTAAAAAAAAAGGAATATGCAGTTATTAAAAAGCTCCTTCCTATCTATTTTATTTCCCTTCAAGGTAGCGTATTCAATGACATGCCCCTTTAATTTTTTTTTGTTTTCCTTCTCCCACCCTCTGAAGAAAAGTTCAAACTTCATTGTGTTCTTTATTTACTTCTTAATAAAAAATAACAACTATCTTATCCTGAAATTATCCTTTCCTGAGTTCCTGAACAACATTTTGGAATGCCAGTAAAAAACCGCCCTCAAAGAATCCATCCAGGTTGACACAAAAATCTAGTGCATGTTGGGACATCAAATATTTCAGAGTGTGCACTGTAGTTAATTTTATGCAGGCTTTCGACAAAACAGTTAGACTCAAGTAAAGCTGTTGGTTCTTCAGCTTAATGCTGAATCTTAGCCTAACAGTGAAAAACTTCCAAACCAGGGTTATGATAGTATTCACACAACAACATAATGTAGTGATACCAAAAAAAAAAAAAAAAAAAAACCAAAAACCTTGTGTGTCATACTGGAAGGTCAAAAATACAAAGTTATTTAAATAAATTAGAAAAAAAGCCCATATTGCATTAACCACTCTCTCTTCTGGCAAGAGTAACTTGGCAAAGGAAGAGCAGGGGAAGCACGGGTGTGTTTGTAGAGCCACAGATGGCCAGAATACGGGTATATATTAATGCTAGTTTTAAAGTATTTTGATGGAAAATTCCTAACAGAAAGTGTGGTTTCTGTAAAATCAAAGTTTCTGCAAGTGCATCATGGGAGATGTAGTCCAACCAGGGAAGTCCATAGGGAAGAATGGGGACATTAAGGAACTCCCATGAGGCACTGTGGAAGCTCACACAGATGCAGATTAATGTCGAACAAACCCAAAATGAAATGTTTGGATAATTCTGAATAGATATTTTTCTAACCTTTGCATTTTGTGCAAAGTTCCAGTATTTCAAGTTTTCCTTCTGATTTAGGATGAAAATAAATGCTGAAATATTGGAATCTCCTTTGGGACAGAAATTCTGTTTTTTGATCAGCTCTAATTAATGCTAATGTGACACTGTTAAAGGGGCAAATTAGCACATTGGTCAAAATTTAGTTCCACGATTGCTTATGCAAGGAATGATGGTTATAAATGCAGGAATTATGTATTCTGTCTCTCTAAAACTTCAATTTTTTTCTATAGATCAGTACCATTCTTTTTACACTTTGTGCCTTTTCATCCCATCATCATTATACAACTGAAAGCAGAAAACATTTCTGTCTATGCCAGGCAGAGAGGCAGGAGATCATACTGTGTGCAAAGTAAAAGTCAGGAGATAAAGGATCAGTATCACTAACCCCAAGTGTTCCAAAATCATGAGCTAAGCTCCCATAAAGCATGAGATTGGCTTAGAAATAATAATTTTATATATATATATATATTTATATTTTTTGGGGGGGATTCTTTTAATTTGCCTTTCAGTTTTTGAACCTTTAGGGGGCACTTGGGCCATGTACTCAGGCTTTCCTTAGCAACCAGGAGGGTTAAAAACAGACTTTGTTTTTAATGAAATCTGAGATTCTCACCTACTCACATGCCTTCAGGAGCCATGGTTTTAAGTAAAACACCATGTATTACAAGACTTGTGGTAAAATAATTAGCCAAGACAACACTGTTGTATATTCCACCTATAAGAATGCAAGGGCCAGATCCTTAGCTGCTGCACCTTGATGTACATAGATGAAGGTGTAGCAGTACCACATTCTATAGGTAGGTTGACTATTTTGGACAGGTGAAAGCCCATTGTAATTTCATAAACAATTTATTACCTGGGTGCTCCTTGGATGGTAAAGGCCTTGTCAGCATGCTGATCTCCCAACTTGGTAATCACCTCATACAGTTTGTGGCATAGCTGAGAAGAAAAACACTTGTCTATTTAATGTGGTATTAGGTTAAAGGTTGCAATATTAGATAAAAGTGCAGATGGTAAGCCTGGTTTAGAAATTGCTGACTTCTCTAAAAAAATATAGACCTCTTCAGATATACCATAGTGCCAGGTTCATTTAGGGCCTGATTCAAAGCCTACTGAAGTTGTGATGATTTGGGGAGTCTATGTACAAATTATTCATTCTGTATGTGATTATGAATTCCATGTGTTACTCTAACCCGCAACGTATAGTGAGTGAGCCATGGCTGTCAAGGACACTCTTGCATATTCACACCCTATCTGGATGAAGCTACAGAACAAATAAAAGAAGTTGTTAACATGAATGGCTCCCATTCAAATGAGAACAGAGTAGGACATTGGGTTGTCTGAAGCCTAGGAAAACAAGTTTCCTTCAACTTCTCTGCAGGGTTCCTTGGTTTGAAGGAATGGAATTTCCCCAGAAGCAGGACAAAGAACCAAGTTACTAGTACTAGCTTTTAACAAACACAGACTGAGTGTGTCAGGGAGACAAAGGAAGCTTAGGGCAGGGACGAACAAAGGGACAGGCTTTTGAGGGAGAGGGGACTTCTTTGACTACAGAATCAGCCAACGAAGAAGGGAGTTGTCTGCAGGTAGGGTGACCAGATGTCCCGATTTTATAGGGACAGTCCCAATTTTTGGGTCTTTTTCTTATATAGGCTCCTATTACCCCCCACCCTCTGTCTCGATTTTTCACATGTGCTGTCTGGTCACCCTATCTGCAGGAGGGAGAGAGAAAGCAAGAGAGAGAGATTCCATGATTCAATAATTAATTGACATTTGTAAAGTGCTATAGGGTGTTTCTTAGATGAAAAAGAGGCCAATTTTATGGCGTATTTTGGTTTGTGTGGAGAGCTCCTGAAGGGAGCCAGTCTTAAACTAACTTTATTAACAATAGAGTGCTGTTAATTACCAGGCTCAATCCACAGGTTTGCCCTTAATCCATACTAAAGATATGAAGCAGAACTCACCCTGTACCAGTACTGTAGAAGGGTGTGGGTTTTATCATTGCATACAACTAAAGTGCATACCTCTGGAATTCATACTCAAAGGAACAGGCTATTTTTTTTATTTTTGGAATATGGTGGGATCTCCAACCTGTAAGAGGACAGTGGTTGGGGATGTCAAGTGTGAGGCACAGTCAAGGTTACTGTTGGACCCTTACCTAAAAACTTGGTTAGTTTCTAGTATTTCTTTAACTCTCTCTCTCTCTCTCACACACACACACACACACACACACCTGGTCTGCACACAGTTATTGTACCAGTTTAACTATTTTTAAATTTAACTGATTTTTGGGTGTAGACAAGCTCTTAGGCACTGACTTGGTGAAGTATATAAGCATACGGTCATAAGTGTCTTACTGAAGTTACTCTGTTTGCTTGAGAACCATGGGCATATTGATAAATTGCTGGCAGCGTAGGAATTCACAGAGGTAGATCTTGAAAGGGGAAGCCTCTACCACTGCCTCTTGCACTTGTTGAGCTGATGCAGTTTTAAAATTAATGCTGGCACAAGGTGCTCAGCAACCTTGCCCCATTAATAATGTATAAGAGGACAGTATGAAGGAAAAAAAGAGAGGGAGGGCATTCTAACAAAGAGAAAGAACTTAACTTTGCAACTGCAGTTGGATTTTAATCCAACAATGTCAGGGACATTACTTTGGCATAGTGCGAAGAAGTGTAGTGAAAACTCATGTTAATACTACACTGTGACCAGGGATCAAGGCAGTAAGGACAAATTCTCAGATACATCGCTGCAATATTTTCCACTGCTCCCAAAGACAACATTTGTTTGTTGCATAATTCACACAGCACATTCAGTTTTACTCACCAAAGCTATTTCCTTGTGAAACTTGGCTTCAAGGCTGGATATATTTTTGAAAGTGTTCACATAGAAGCCAACTCGTCTGAAAGAAGATGACAGAGAGAAAGGAAAAAAGGAGGGTGAAGAGAGAGGAGAGAAAATGAGCTGTACATTTCTTTCAAACAACAAGCAACATTCTTTATTGTGTCCTGATGATTCTGAGGAAAGCAAACAATTGAACGGAATATTAAACAAAAAATTGTATCTTGATTCACTGATCATGTAACAATTCCTGAAGTGGTGCAGCTGGGGGCCAGATTCTGCCACGCTTGTTCATGCTGAGGGTTACTTTCTTCCCGACATGGTCCCATTTATGTCAGTCTAAATACTTAGGGAGTAAATTAATACTCAGTGTGAATAAGGGTGGTAGAATCTGTCCTGTAGGCATTGTCACTGAAGTTAATATAATCAGTGCCCAATATACAATGATAATTATGTATTGTACGTAAGCTCCTACCATGTTAGTACAGAATCATTATTATTATATATTTATAGTACAGTAGCCTCTACAGAGCAGCAATGGGAGCAGGGCCCCACTGTGCTACGCACTGTACAAACACATAGTAAGAGCCTTCGGGCATGAGAGAGAGAGGAACAAAAAGGACAGGCTTTTGGAATTTACAGTCTAAATAGACAAGACAAAGGGTGGGAGGGGAAAGGCGAGGCAGTCAGAAGTGAAGTGACTTGCCTTAGGCTACACTGCAAGCCAGTGGCAGAGTCTAAAATAGAACCAAGATCTCTTGGATCTGAGTCCAGTGCCCTATCCCCTGGATCATACTGCCTATTCAAATCATAGTCATTTCAGATCCAAGAGATGAGAAACATGTTCCCCAAATCTGGAATACCCATCTAGTTGCTGGCCTTACTGAAACAAGAATATATGTTGTTTAAAGCATCCAGGCTTTAAGCAAGCAAAAAAAATGGCAATGTCTATTTTTCACAAGACTCATGCTGAGCTCTTTCAGTCTCACTACAGTAACACAGTGAGGCAGGCAAGATTAGCAAATACTCCTGTGCTCCTAGAGATTAGTGCAGCAGTATCTTATCTCACATAGGGCTTCTATGGTGGAGAACATTATAGTATCCGAGTGCTCACAAACATTAATGAATATATTTTCACAGCATCCCCGTGAGATGAGGTGGCATTATTTCCGTTTTACAGATGGGGAACTAAGGCACAGAGACATTAATGTCAAAAGCACACATTAAATATTGGGTGATCAATTTGAAAATCTGTGGGGTTTTTGAGGGCATTTAACAATGTATGGTTCTTTTTTGTTCGGAACACAGTCTCACAGACTTCAGTTGCAGTCAGCACTTCTGCAAATCTGATCTCCAGGGTGTCAAATTGGGCATCCAGAAAATGAGGTACATACAGTTAGTGACCTCCTGTGAAAAGTTTGGTTCAAGTGACTTGCACAGGATTGCACAGGAACCCTGTGACAGAGACAAGGATAGAATCCATTTCTACAGACCACCGTTCAACTGTCGTAATCACAAGACTGTCCTTTATCTTCCTGCTTTACACCTTCCAACTTCTGGAACAAATGAGCTTCATTCACTAAACAAACCTGATTCATTCTCCAACCACCATTCATCGCCTCACAGGCTGTATATGTACAAAGACTGATGGCAAGCGGTAAGTTTTAAAACACAGATGCCTAAGTAGAGCATGCAAAATATGCACACATATGTAAAAGAAAATAATTATGAATGCAAAATACACAATTGTACATGCATGTAGGTATTTGCATAAAGACGTTTGTGAGAGCAATTAATTGTTCTATGTGTGTATGAACATTTTTTGAAATTGTTTGATTTTTTTTTTAATTTCGTCCTGAAAATGTGTCTTTGGCTTATATTAGTGCAGGGAAATCTGAATAACCCTAAGAGCATAAAAACTTCATTTCTCGCCTGTTTGGAAATTCCACATTCAATTTCTCCAAATTTTCACCAACAAAAAAAAATCACCTTTGGGCTGAGAATAAGCCTGAGAAATTTCATCCCAATGGGTTATTTTTCTGGAAAGTAGTAAGTATCTAAAAAATAGGGGCTTTGAATGAATGTGCTTCCTGAACCATGACTATAGGCTCAAATGTATATGGAAATTCTATCAACCATTTAGTCTAGTTAGAAGGTAACAGACACACTGTAATGAAAAAGACATGTATGCCAAGGTGTGTGGTGTAGACTTTTTGTTTTGGTGTGTAGTTGGTTGGGTTTTTTTGTTTAGTTTGTTGTTTCTTTTGGTAGCCCGTAAAACAAATGTATTGAGGTGATAAGTGCCTGAAAGTACGAACACCACAGAAAAATCTGAACTCATCTCACTTTAAATAGAAGTTTAGAGGACAATAGTAGACAGAAATTCTGACTGCCCCAAGCATCCTTTTTTCAAGTCTCATTTGTCAAATAATGTAACGCTCTAATGGGACATTTCTCTGCCATTCTTGTTCACCTGCCTATTAAATCTAAAATGAAAATACAATACCTGCATTTTACAATTATTTATCTTTTTCTGGTTCTTTTTAAATTGTAACTTGTAACACAGGCACTGCCATGCAATTTTAAAGAAAACAAGCTGCTAGAGATGCTCAGAAATTATGGTTCTGATACTGGTTCTGACACTGGGGAGTAGGACCTACTTCATGTACTGGGCCAGCCATTCTGTGACACACATTAAAATTCAGTGGACGTTCGGAGACTAATTCTATTAGGTTCTTTGAAAATTCTAGCCTATATATGCAAGTTGTTTGGCTTACCTTGACCATAGAGATGGCAGCTCTTCTTGTAAATCAATATTAAAGTCTTCAAACACTTTCTGTGCTTTTTGAAACTCTTCTTCTGCCTATAACAAAGCAATACATGTTGGCTTTTATTCTCCAAACACAGTGAAACTGCACAAATCTGTTTTTCTATTAACAAAAGAAGAGTGTAGGTCAAACTACTGTTGTTTATTATAGCGTATAAAACTCACTTGTTTCATTTTGCAAAGGCTACTGCAAACATTTTTGTCTAGTTTGGCTTGCATAGGTTTGAATCTCAGGCATTTCTGGTTCCAAAGAATACAACCAAAACCGAAAGAAAAAGTCTTTTTGTGTCAAAATGTGCAAAATCACAAGTTCCATGCGGTTTCAATGGAAACAATAAATTGGCCCATCTTTACTGTAGAGGTTCAGAGCTTCTCTAAACCTTTGGTGAACCTTTGCTGAATCTTGCATTTGCAACAAAACTGAAAACCAGCAATTTTCCAAAGAACTCACATTGTAACGTCATTTTCTCAGTTTTACTACAAAAAGGCAAGCACAAAGCCTATGCACCCCTTAAATCCCAGTGCAACTCAAAATAGGACTTAAATGGGACTCACTCCTGCAAGAAGCTGAGCACTCTGGCCCTGATCTAGCAGAGTGCATAACGTGTTTAAACGTCAGCATGTGAGCAGTCCCATTTTCTGAAATGGAAGAGAACAGACTCTATGCTATCCATTGTGCAGAAATAAATGTCACCCGGACTCAGGACGTCTGCTGCCAGTAACATTGTTATTTAAAGACATACCCTACCTTTGTAATTCTGCTTTCATCTCTTCTTTTTGAGCTCTGCAAGGCTTCCAAGTGATGTCTTGCACTGTCATAGTCCACCAGCTTTCTGCTTCGCTTTGCAATGCGAGTCTGCAAAAAAAATCAGTACTATTGCCACACATCCAAGCAATCTGAGATGGAACTTTCATTTAATTTGCTTTAATTTGTCTTTGATTCTTTACCCTCTCACTTGCAATCTAAACTTTATTTATCATAATATTGCATAGTGAAAGCACATTTGGTGAAAGAGACAATTTAGGTAATTTATTATTTTAATACGAAACCTATTTATTGAGAAATAAGGGTGTGACAAGAGATGTGTGTGTGGAGAGTTTGCAGGACTGGAATCTCACATATCGATTTTATAATATATGAACAGACTCATCTTTATCTCCAGCAGTGTGAATGGACTCATTAAGCTATACTATAATGGTACCACAAACTATCTTCCCTTTCATATTACACAGTGTGTGAATTTAATGATTAATATATATTAACTTTTTTCAGAGTTAGGAAAAATGCTGAAAACACACTTCTCAGTATGACTTTCTTTGAATACATAATGAATACATTTAATTATTTAATTTTGACATCACATAATGGGAATTCCAATTAAGCTACTGTAGGTATCATAGGACCTCTCATAATACTAAAAAAGGTGCCTTGGAAAATTGCTGACACAACAGTAATGCATATTGTATATAAATTTCCTTTTATAATACTGTGGACCAGATTCCAGGCTGCAGCTAAAGAGAACTGGGCACAGCTCAGGAACTGGAGTGGGACTTTATCTCCCCTTGAGCACCCAGGACCCTAGGTTGTCCTGGTGCTAATGTTGTCCCTGGTGTCAATTATAGCAGGGGCTGAATGTGCAACCCTTACTCACAGCTAAAGATCATCCCATCATAAGGAAGCTCTGGCTGTGGCCCCTTTTTCCTGGCTATTTTTCCTATGTCAGCAGCCTGGGTAGTGCTGAAGTCACTAAGCTGGTTCTATGCCCCACTAGGATGCCTCAGTACTACCGGAATCTTCTAGTGGCTGGCTAAAATGACTTCAGAGCAGCTTTGCACCAATGGCGACATGTAAAGTTGACCCAGCATATCAGAGGATCTGCCCCGTGTCTCAAATGAGACTGTAAGTAAACTTGCCAGTTATGGTGGTGATTTTTGCAATATGGCCGCCTGTTTTATAGAAAGTCATTGAGTCCACTCTTTCCTTTCAAATAAGTGCTGATCAGCCCTTAGATGACAATTTTGAGAGTCACTATTAGCATAGGCCTGATTCAAACCAGCAACACAGAAGCAAAAGGACTAAATTAATCACAGGCACAAGTGGCTGCACCTCAGTCAATCATGGGTGAAAGCTTGAGACCCAATTCCACAGTATCTGAAGCCATCCAATCTGGCTATGGCTCTTAAAATGGATGGTGTTAACATAAGCTGGCTACAGCTTTGATGGTATCCATAAAGGTAACACATCAGGATGTTTGATTACAAAGATCGCTCCAAATTCAGTTCAATTCCCAATTTCAATACATTTTGACATCCTTATCACCTCAATAGCATTTCATGGTGAAAACAAAGCTGAACCCAGCATTTCTTGAAATATCAGAACACAGGCCTTTAACAAGTACCACCAAGAGCTGTAGCCAATCTTGACTGGCTTTAACTGAGTCCTGTTTTAGTGTGTAATTCAGCTGTCAAGGCCACAAAATGGTAACCTTAAATTTCAGCCAATCACAGTCTGTAGAAACTGAACATTTCTGCCCTTCCGAACAAAGCTGAAATCTTTATTTATTTTTTGATGCTTTGGAATAAGTATCCAAAGGATGGCATCTACCTGGCAACTAAATGTGAGTCAGGATTGCTTTGAAAATTTACAGTATCATCCAGTTATAACATTCTCCTTCTTCATCGTCTATTGGGTTAATGAGTTGTTTTCCTTAAAGTCCCATCTCTTCTTTAGTCATGTACTTATTATGTACTCCTCCACTTTACACTGTTGATCATCACAGCCATGCTCCAAGGCCCCAGTCCAACAAGGCACTTAAGCATTTGATTAACTTTAAGCATGTGAATAGTCCCATTGTCTTCAAGTGTTAAGCTTTGTGATTCAGTGTTTTACATTATTGAAATTTCATACGATTTGGGTGCATGCTACTTTGAAATCCTTACAGGGAAGACAGAATTAAAAAGGGACTTGGGGAGTGTATGTTGTGATTTGTATAATAGCAGTCTCTACTGAGATGTATTACAAAGCTTTTGTGATTGATCAAATCACAGAAACCATCTATTGCTTCAAATTCAACAAAGAAAACAAGTGACTCGAACATCCAGAGGTGCATCTAACCAAGAAAAGAATAATGACAGAACACTTCTGATTCTAATAATTCTGCTGTAACACTTTGGTCTCAAGGCCTTGCTCCAGCACTGCTGAAGTCAGTGGAAGTTATGCCATTGACTTCAGTGGGAGCAGAAAAGACCTACATAAAAGTCTGAAATACAAAGGCTAATTTAAGAAAATCAAATGGTGCTACTGCATAATACTTAATTTTGTTCATTCAGGAAAATAGCATAGACTATGAATGGAATTTGCTTACAGAATTAGATGTGTTACATTCCACATGACAGCGGGCTTCCTGTATATTCTTTATTTCATTTCTCTCATGATTATGACTCAATAGTAATCGGTAACCTTTTAATTTTTCCCTCTATAGAAATGTATTACTGTACTTTGATATCAGGAAACTGTCCCAGGTATGTATCCAAGGTCAGCAATGATCCATCCACCAGCTTTTGATGAAAGTCTTCCCAGAGCACATCACATTTCTGTAAAGAAAGAGATGAGATACAGAGAAACACAGTTGACAATCACTCAAAATTTAGGGGAAACACTTATGTAAATGGCAAAACACTTATGTAAATTGCAACGCTTAATTCTCCTGGAATCTTCTTATGTTCTTCCTGCAAAAATCAGAATTTAGTTGTGAAATGGATAAAAAATCTTCAATCTGAGTTTTAATTTACAATAGAATAGATTTAACTCCAGTAAACAATTAAAAAATTTTGCAGTCTTCAAAGTAGTAGCAGTCTTGGAAAGTCACGAATCCAAGCTTTGCAGGATTACTACTGATTCTAGCAGGCCGGGAGTCCCAAAACCAAAGTTACTCTATTTCCCGCCTATAAATAGGTTCACTGATATGTACATCATAACCTCTCCTCTAACGAGCAGCAAAACACAACTAAAACCAAAATAAAATAAAATGAATAAAAGGTGGTTCCTTCATCTACTAGAGTGATTTGTAACCTCAGTTTTGATTTTTCAGTAAAATGTATGGACAATGGAGAAATTGGGTTTATTTTATTTTATTTTATTTTAACACTTGTTTTCTGGCTGAGTATTCTTCCAGACCAGGGGAAGTCATATATTCCCCATATTTGTTTCTCTCTGCCTATCAGTAATAGAGCATTTTGAAGGCAAATGGCTGGCATAAATAGTTCTGCCTCACAGAACTCAAAGGATCTGTAAATCAAAAATTTGGATTCAGGATACAAACCACTGCTACTCCAACAGACAAAAAGTCCCATTCTTCACATCAACTTCACATCACATCCATTCTTTGCATCAGCTGGGGGCTAGCTCACTCCTATGTAAAGTCGTGGGGGAACTGCCAGAACATGCTCCTTGGAATTCTTCTGTCATTGAGCATGTTAATGCAGCTGGACTGATTAGGAGTACTATGGAGAAATGAGTGATATCCCATGCCAGATGCAAAGTTCTGCTGCTGCTGCTAGAGATCAGTGCTCTTAAAATCTCCTGGGACTTGGTTTCTCAATCTTGGGATTTGAACAGGTGCCGGGCAGGTCACAATCACCCTGCTCTTCTCATGTTTCTAAATGGGAGGGGGATCCCACCTAGATCTCACCTAGAGAAGAAGGAAGTTTTGTGGTGATCCTGGTATATGAAGAGCGAGAACCACTGCCCTACAGGATCCATGGGCAAGCAGCGGTCCTGAAGGCTATTTTCTAGTGACACTGTTTACTCATTCTGTGCCACAAGACAGACATATTGTAAATGCAGTATGACACAAGATGCCAGAATTTATTTAATCTATTTCCTATCATAATTGCAGACTCTAATGAATAATACTCCATTAATAATCCATTAATCACACTTAAAAATCCATATTTATTAACACAATATTTAATTACAGTTGTGTAAAAAGCAGCAAACCATGAGATCATAACAAGCAATAGCAATTATGGTACATTGGCATTTGAAAATAACTTGCAGAGACACATTTTAGATAAATTAAAATCTTGGAGGTTTTCAAAAAGTTAATGGGACTGAAAAGCACTTGCTGAATAAATGATTAGTGCCTCAAATCACCTTCTCTCCTCACATAAAGATCAAGGTCATTTAGATGGAACAATTTAGGAATAATTGCCTGTGGACTTGACAAGGTAAGCATATTCTCCTAAACTGTATTTTCAGTAATGCATAAATCTATAACATCACGTCCAAACTTCAGATTAAATTGGAAAAGACTCAGCTGTAGAAACTACAGTGTGTCATGTGTTACCCTGTTTGAGACCATATTCACACAGGTAGGGAGTTAGAAGATTTTTCCTGTATGTAACAGAGACCAAAACCCGGCTGTGTTCTCAGGTAAACTACTGTGACTCCAGGGTAACTCCTCTTAAATCAGTGAGAATACTTTGGATCTACACCAGTGTGCGATGGATCTGCTAAGCAGGGGACTACAACTCGCATCACCCTCTCTCCACGGCACTTCCCTACCTGTTTCCATTATTGGAGCTCAGGGGAAAACTTAGATCATCAGGGTTGTTCATTTCTACCCACCAAGTAGCACTCGTACCTCTGGCTCCTGCCTTTTACGTCCTGCCAGCCAAATTTGCCATTTGGAATCCCATTGCTGACACCAGTGTAAATTACTGGGGTTTCTCATGACCGGACTACACCAAGTCCCTAAGGTTCCAGTGGCATGCCAGGTGCATCAAGATCAAGAGGCAAACACTGCAGGTGCTTCAGCACCTAGGCCTTGTAGGTGCTAGCCCTCGTGGGATTCAGTAACCACTCAGACCCATGGCTAAGCGAACGAGTATTTTACAGGGCTGGTAGGCAAGGAAATGGTTGCAAATACCCTAGGTATAGAGGCTTAAACAGTCACAGTTCAAAGTGAGCAATAGTGGTTCTTATTCAGGTCCCTGGGGCTGTCTAACCGAGAGACTGGGCTCTTCATTCCTAGTGCCTGAGGTGCCATCTCCAGTTCAGCTTCCATTCAAGCAAACAGGAGCTTGCAGACTAGTCTCAGTCAGTGTCCCCCTTTGAGACCCTTCTGCACTGGCTTCCTGCCCAGCTGCTGCTGTTCTCCTGTGCATACCACACTAACCTGCACCTGGCTGTAATATTAACAGCCACAATCTGTTCCACATGCATTTCTGTATACAGTTCTTGAGAAATCTGCTCTGAATTCAGCTTCTCTGCAGCTCTTCTTGCCATGTGGCTACTGCCTCCCAGCAGAGCCCAGACAGCTCTTGGTTCAGGATCTTTCCCCTTACCTGGCCAGGGGAAATGGAAATGCCGTGGGATGGGGGACTGATGTGAGTTGTAGTCCCCTGCTTAGCAGATCCATCACACGGTGAATCCAGAGTAACTCTTCTGGAATCAGTGGTAATACTTGGGATTTACAATAGCGTTTATGAGATAAGATTCTGTCCCCAAGTCCAAAATTAGCAATGATGTAAATGGTAATATAAGTTATATGTCAGATGTAAGTTGTTCAGACAATACATTTAAGTGGGTATAAGCAGTGAAGTAGTATAACTTACACTGATTTGGCATTGTGTGTGTTTACAACACAAATGTAACTTATATTCCATTGGGAGGGAGCAAGGTGGGAGGAGAATAGCAGGAAAAGCTATTAACAGGAGAGTTTGTGTTTGTTTTTCCTGCTACAGCTCCCACACTTAATACCAGATCAGTACAAATTACATTTGATTATAATTTACATCAGTTTTCTGACCAACTTACACCGTCTTGTCATCAGTAAATTTGCCCATAGACTTCCATGGGATTTAAACTTGCTTACACTTGCTTCCTAATTTGGCCTCTAATATTTATTACACCCTAACGAAAGAAATTCAATAAAAGCACCACCACCACAAAGCCTGGTCCAAAGATAAAAGGGTCATATTCTACTCTCACAATGTTGTAAATCTGGAGTAACTCTTCAGTGGAGTTACTCCAGACTTGCACCACTGTAAACAAGAACAGATTCTGGCTAGAGAAAAGTCAGTATGCAATCAGGTATTCTTTCTCTTATAATTAGTCCTACCATTATTACGAAATACTACAGGATGATCATGAACATTCAAAATCTTATAAACGTGCATATAAGACGCCTCGCAGTAGCTTGTCAAATAACTGTTATTGAGCCTGAGTCTGCTCTCACTTCCGGTACACTGAGGTAAATCTGGAGTAACTCCAGATTAATGAAGTTAATACAATTACCTGGGTTTTAAACGAGTGTGAGTGAGATGAAAATAAAGGCCATTATGCATAATAGTTTAGAATGTCAACCAAGTTTTTATTTTAAAAATAAAAATAATTATTTTAAGAACACACTTTTCCACTATCGCTGCATTATGATGTAAATATGGTTCATGGAGTGTTTTCTGATTACTATGAGATGCTCTCTAGGAGGCCTACAATTACATTCTGCACCAATACATTAGTACAGTAAATGAGGAACTCAGTGACTTAAGGTTAATATTTCCATTCTTTGGTTCAGACAAATCTATTCTCAACCATGTTTCTTCACATTCACACCTCTTACCTCTCCAACCATTTTCACATCTTCCCGGCCGTACCATTCGGGCTCATATACTTCATGAAGAGACTCTGTAAGCTTCTTAGAGGCCTCTTGCATGCCTAGGATTTTGTAGAAAAACAATATATTATTCTACACAACACAAGGAATAGTGGGTCGAATCTTTATTTACTTCCACCTTTTTCCCCTTTTATATAAATAGGACCCTACCAAATTCATGGTCCATTTTGATCAATTTCATGGCCAGAGGGTTTTTAAATTTGTCTATTTCACATTTTCAGATGTTAACATCTAAAATTTCACGGTGTTGTAACTGTGAGGGTCCCAACCCAAAAGGTACCCAGAGGTGGGACTGATCTCCCCCCGCCAGAGAGTGGCAAGTCATGGGAAGTGAAGTGGTGCAGCTGGGGGCTGAGTCCTGTCCCTCCCTAGCCTGGCCAGGACTCACAGCTAGGAGCCCCGAGCTGGGGCGCTCCCAGCAGCAAGGGGGAGATGGGACCCACCTCCACAAGCCTCCTCTGGCTGCAAGAACCTCCGGGGCTGCTGCCCAGCCCCAGAGCTTCCTGCAGCATGTGGAGGCACCCAAAGTGATCTCCCCACCGAGAGTGGCTGGGACTCACAGCTAGGAGCCCCCAGCTGGGGTGTTCCCAGCAGCACAGGGGAGATCAGATTTCATGGGGAAGGGCTTATTTCATGGTCTGTGACATGTTTTTCACGGCCATGAAATCGGTAGGGCCCTATATATAATGTTTGTTGGTGTGGTAAGAATGTAGCTTTCAAAGAGTTTAAACAAAAAATAAACCTTCATGTTCAGGGCATAAACCAGCCACTAACTACCTGGAGTTAACAAGAAATGTCCTTTATAGTCTATTATGAGTGTGACAGAGTAGGGTATCTTTGTATACACTTATGAACTCCATTTTGTATTAGGTGCTGAACATGTCTCTAAACTGTCCCAAGGCAGTGTATTGAATTATATTCAGAGAGCGGCTCTGCCCATTAAGATAGTGGCTCTGCACAGGAAAATTCACTTGAAAACTTGTTGAAGGACTGTCACTGAGAAGCCAACAAAATGGCAATCTGTAGCTATCAACTTTGAATGCTCTCAGCTCCTGGCTCACCCCCATGGAACAACGTTTTTCTATGCAGGTGGTGCTAGCATGAATGGGGGATGGGGCTGAAGCATGCCAGGGGAGCACATGGCAAGCAGGCAGAGACACTGTTCAAGAGAGCATGCTACTCTGTGCAAGAGGCCTGCCAGTGTAACACGTAAGCAGGATGTGCAGGAGAGACTCAACCCAGCCTGAAACACTGACTCACATAAGGGGTGAGATCAGACTGGGGAAGGCGGCCTTTTGTCATTTTAAAAATCTGTAAGTCTTGAGTGCTTTCAAGAGTAAAGTGACTTTGGTTAAGAAATTCCTTTGCTAAACCTGTGTTCCTTGCTTTCTTGCCACATTGTCCCTGAAGGGGTTAAACAAGTAGCTCAGAGAGACCACAGCCTCAGCAGAGCTCTGTGGGAGCTTGTGTACATGACTGGTAGTTGGGAGCTTGGGAGGATTGAGGCACAGGTTTCAGGGTTTAGGGTAGCTGCATTGCAGTCCCATGTCCCAAGAAGGGATCAGACAAAGGGTCTGAGCCTGGAAATGTGCCTAACAAACCCAAAGCTAGAAACAGTGACTATAATTCTGTCCAAACCCAGTTGGCTTGAAAGCACATGGGACTCAGTGTAGGAGTCCACTCGCAACAGACTGGTGGTCATACAGAGGGGTACTGTGCCAGGTTGTAACAATGAGATTCTTATACCCTCCTTTGAACCATTGGCCATTACTGGTGAGAAGATAGTAGACTAGCTAGACCATTTTAATCACTCTGTAATATACAAAATGTCTGATTTCTTCTCACTTACATTGATGTAAGTAAGAAGTAACTCCACTGAAGTGAGCACAGGTAACATCAGTCTAAACCTGTGAGAGGAGCAGTCAGACCAGTTGATCTGGGTTTGACTGAAGTAGATGGGAGTGTTGCCGTTAATTTTAATAGTGGATGAAATCATGGCTCTATCTGCAGAAGTGAACTGACCCTTCCTGACCTTAAGGGTCAGGCCAACATTATAATTACACGCAAACTTTATTTAAACTTTTACATAAAACCTGCTGAAATGAGCTGAATTCCAATGACAACAAAACGGAATGCTTGAAAAAAATCCAGCTTTTTAATTACAAAAAAATTGCCAGCCAAAATCTTTGTTTGCTACGGCACATCTGCTCTGCCTTGGAAATATCTCTAGTGTAAGCTTTAGAATTAACCCTTAATTGACTGAATTTCAGAATAGCAGTGAAATTTTGATCTTCCCTGGAAAGAAATACAGACGTTACCCCCTAAATCTGGAATAGCCTGAAACTCCTGTTAGAATACTCCAAGGAAGGTATTTTGTGATCTGCTCAGTGACCCTCCCACTCATTGCCCACTCTTTGAAAAACACACGGGACATTAAAAGTAAAATGATAAAGTACTTTTCTGTTTACAAAAATGATTTTCTATGTAGAAAAGAAAAAAAGAAAAAAGATTTTTCTTTTCTGGCCTCTCCATGGAAGCTTACGGGAAGGAGGGGCACAAGGGTCAAGCACAATGGGAGCTTTTGCATTCAATCTTGCACCATTAAATCCATGGGTGTCTCGTCACTATATGAGCAGGCTGGGACCAAGGAATGCTGGAGCACCTCAGGGCTCTGACTGCTAACAGAGGTTTGTGTGGAAGAGGGTAGGAGACCAAGGAAGGGGAGAGAGCAGGACCAAGCCTCATCCCACCCCCGTGGCAGGCCAGTGGAGCTGGCTGAATGCAGAGTGGCGCTTTCACTGCACTCACTTTAAAGATAGTGCACTGTCTGTGTGCTTCCCCAGAGCAACAGGAGACACTGTGTGCAATCCTTCACAATGCTCCGACTGGGCTTGGTGCACCACTGCCAGTGTAGGACTGTTATTTAATGCCACAATCTAGCCCAGAGTGTTCAAATTGATGGTAAGGGCTTAAGGAAGATTTCCCTCCCTCTGCTGGAATTCACTCTCCTCTCTAGATATGGCTACCTGATCCTTGCTAGGAAAGATGCATCACTGGACCTTAAAGGTATTACTGATTTTTTTTTAAATGTGATTTAGAATGTACCAGACAAAATGGAGAGGATTTTCAAATATTTTAGTAGAGCTCTATATCAAATCCTCTTTCTACTGCCACAAATTAATTCAGCCAGTAAAAAAAGAAACAAAGCAGCATTGTTGCTTTTAGGAATACTGTGTTCTGACCATTCACTCAATAAAAATGCACACATCCTTACTCACACTTTGATCCACTCTGAAACATCATTCTTCTGCTCTTGTGCCCTTGAGCACACTGCGTACTACACCCACAACATATGTTACTGCAGTACACACGCCAACAAAGCCCTTCGCTTTATATCTAGCTGCTGTTTACATTCAACTCAGACACAGATATGATACTGTGCAAACAAAAATCAGTGCTGAGTATAAGATCATCTCTATTGACAGATACTTTCTTTTAAACATGATATTTTATATAAAAACAATAAAAAAGCACATAAAACTGTATATGTATAAATAGATGCACAAGAGGAAATAGCAAATAAAAACAACAACAAATACCAATAACAAAATTCAACATTCATTATTTGTAAAACCTGAAAAAACAAAAGGAAAACCAACCAACCAACCACCCCTGAACATGTAGATATCATGCAGGGCATCAATTATTAAAATGACTAAATAGATAAATAAGTGAGAACACAACCTACGAGTATCGTGGATTAATACACACAAAACTGCAAAACTGACCAGACATTTTCATATTTTTTCCAAGCGAGACATTTTTTTCCATTAATGCAGTAGTAGAAAGGACAAATATTATTTAAATGTTGCAGATCCTAGTTATACTTCTGTTTAAAAAAAATGTAAAGACTCTTTATCATGCTTGGCCTGTATCAAAAATATACCAGAAAAGTGCAAACATAATATTTTATCAATGCCCAATAATCTGTTCTTTCCCCATATTGCTGTAGACCCTGTAGACCAAATTCAGATGTAACCTAAGATAACGGGAGTTGTACCTAGTTGCACCACAGGGCTAAATTTGGCCTCGTGACTATGATTCTTGCCTCCTGACTATTGTTTTTATGCTATATTTATTACTATATTCTTCATGTGTGTATGTATATATGTACAATGAACTACAGCCAGGCTTTCAGCGTGTGGCTTCCCATTTGTATGTGTGCACACAACTGTTTTAGCATGAACTCACAATGTCCAGGGATTATTGATTTGTATTCACATTCAATGTTTGTCATATACTGATAACTCTTATGTGTTCTTCAATACTGAAATTAAGAGGATTAGTGGCATTCCTAGGCTGTGTGCTGTCTCCCTCTCTCAACTGCTGTCACTGAGAAAGATAAATTACTTTAAAAAAGCTATTTAAGTTCTAAGGAATGGTAAAATAATTTGTACCAATGATGAGCAGTTCGCAATTCATATTTAATATCAATTGTTTGAATTAGTATTGCTTGTTCTTGGTAATTGGATCACTTACTATTTAATCACTAGAAATGATGAAATAATTGAGTTACTTGGTAAAATCTGTGTGAAATAATCCAGCTATTGAGGGCTGTATCTTTCCCCTGAGAGCCTTGCATAGATGAAATCTACTCCCTCTTTCCATGCAGAAGAGCCACCTTCCCTGGATCTTGCAAGGGCTCTTAGCAAGATTAGGGATCCACACATGCAGAAGGACAAGCCTGAAGGCAGCAGGCCAGGCATGGGAGGGAACAAGTCTGCCCCTACCTACTCTAGGAGTAAATTGCTTTAAACATTATAAAGCGTGAAGAAGCGGAGACCTTCCAAGATGTGATGCTCCCACTGATGGGTGTTTCCAGGGGCAGCAGGGTATCGGAGTCCATAATGGCACAGCATCCATGAAACCAGGCTGCCAGGGAGCCCAAAGCCAGCAGAGAGCCATGGATAGGGTTCAGAGGAACAAGGTTGCTATGTGGTGGGCCCTGATGCTCCCTTGTGATCTACACATTCTGGGGCTGACCTCCTTGTTCCAAATGGAGAGCCCGGCTCAGTCTATGAGAAATTTCTGTACATGTGGCTTGAGCTAAGCAATCTGGCCTGCCTCCTAGTATTTTATTACTCGAGCGGGGAGGGGTCTTTTCCAAGTGAGGTTCTCGGAGGAATTAACAGAGTTCTTTAGTAAATCTTATCCAAAAGACAAATTCTAAGAAATGAAATGGCTAACTTTAAGTAATTTATGTCGATGTGTGATAGGAGCTAATCTGTCAGCCACAGAATGTGAGAGCTTTCCTACAGCTCTTCTGAAGACCAGCTGTCATTTCCATGTCATATCAAATGATCAAAGAAAGACAGGGCTTGACCCCGTCACTTTGCATCCACAAATAATTGCAGGTAAACGTCTACATGCCTTTGTGTACCTTGCAAATAAATTAGAGGTGCAAAAAGGGAGGTTGATTTAGGATTTATTTAAAATTCAGGACCATTAAACGCAACCTTGATTAGAGCCAACTACAACTCTCTGTGGCTTTTGAAGAGCTCAGAGATAAAAATCTCAGAGAGCCCTGAAGGCACCTGATACTAGAGAGGTTTGAGGGAAGGAAGGACCCCAGCCATCAGATGAAAACTATAGTAATCAGCGAAATTTTATCCACTCCCTTAATCCTCTACTCTATGACAGTACTAATATAGGTTGAATAGATGCAGCGAAATGTAGCCACAATGATACAGAAATGCAGGCGAGGTGTAGCATTCTCATATTAGCATCTCATAAAATCAAATATTCTACACTTATTTAACACAATTACCTTATTCCTTCCAATGGTCACCAGAAAAGAGCAAGAGCCATAGAGGGACAAGAAGGGCCTGGATAGGCTAAAGCCAAGAGGTTTAGGAAGCACCACAGAGCTCAGGGAGGAGCATGAATGCTGTAGAAACTCTTTTCTTTTAGGAATGTGCATTATTAAAATTCAGAAATGATCTTTTTCTTTACATTAAAATGAATGAACAAAAAATGGTCAAAGAAGGGTCATTTGACTACACATTGTTTGAAGCATGCAATGATCTGCTACGGCTTTTCCACATTTAACTTCTAGAATCCTGTGATTCTAATGTCATGGAGTAAAATTAAGTTCATACCATGGCAGCTTTCTGCCAAATAAGAGAGAAAATCCTTTTAATTAGAGATTAAATGTTTCAGTTTGTCCACTTCCTCAGACTCAGATGCTGTTCTGCTGTACTTATATCTTTGAAAATAGCTACCAATGTAATCTGTTCTGATAAGGGTATCAGCCATCTCATCAAAAATGTATCCATAATTAAAGAGCAGCAATTGATGCAGGCTCTGTAATTCTGCTCAGAATGTCAAACTTCTGTTTCTGCCTAGCACATCAACTAACAGTATTCCCCGACTATAGAAACACAACATCTAAATATGACTAATTATTAATGATTATTTATTGCTATTACTGTAGTACCTAGGAACCTCCGTCATGGACCAAAATCCCATTGTGCTAGGCACTGTGAAAACACAGAACAAAAAGACAGTCCCTTCTCCAAATATACCAAGTCACTGTATACATTCTCTCTGTTAATATGGTTAGAAAGTGCTGACTCTCATCTCCTATGGATAAGTCCCCAATTGTTTGTTGTTGTTATTATTTATTTGTTGAACTCCAACAATGTGCTCAGCACAGTAAAATACACAAAATGAAGACAGTCCCTGTCTTGAAGAACTAACAATTCAAGAACAGTTGTACTATTCAGTAAGTGCAATTGTGATAAAGTAGCAGAATTTCCATATGCCTCAAATGTCAGTGTTACAAGATAATATTATCATTTTACAGTGGAGGCACTGACCAGTTCAAGAACTATACACTGATCTGTTATTTGCTTTGCAGTGAACACTCTCAACTCATACTTGTGTGGGCTGGAATGTTGCAGTTTCAACTAATGCAAATTTTGGCATTAGATTGAAGAATGTTCAGCAGTTTCCTCATCACTGATGTGACTGGACAATCTTCTGCTGCTTTTTCTAGGAGCTCATCTAAACCTTTCGGCACAACTACAAGCATAGGGCAACATAGACCTCTACAGCCCTTGGAGGAGTACCAGGGCACAGGTGTCTCTCTGAAGTACAATTCCTATGGCACTCCCCGTTCTCTGCGGATGGGGGAGCGTACTGCATCGGGGGGGAGGGGGAGGAGGGGGAGGAAGGGAGGGGATTACTCCTGACTGACTACACCTTGTGCTCAGTTGCTCGCTTTTGGGTGAGCAGTCCCTGTTCCCCACCCACACCCAGAACAAGCTCCACATATAGCTCAGTGGTTTGAGCATTGGCCTGCTAAACCCAGGGCTGAAAGTTCAATCCTTGAGGGGGCCATTTAGGGATCTGGGGCAAAAATCTGTCTGGGGATGGGTCCTGCTTTGAGCAGGGTGGTGGACTAGATGACCTCCTGAGATCCCTTCCAACCCTGATATTCTATGATTCTATGAAGTGCTGTATGGCCACACAAGGGGAGAAGGGATTATTGCCCTGTGTGGCCATGCAGAACCCAGGCACAATTTAGCACAGTGTAAATATGGGGTGTTGTTACCTTTATGAAATAATATGTTTATTGTTTGCATAATCTTAGTATAGTACATTTACAGAAATTCCTCATTACATATTCAATATCACTGTCCCTTGTGTTTTTAACAAAAGCTGCTATATGTCTGCCTTGGCAAAAAAGATCATTTTGTGCTAAATATGATTCCCAACAAGGATGCCATTTGACACTAGTTGCGATTATGTTACTTTTCTTGAGATGATCACTGGGAAGGTACTGAGCCACCAAACTTATTTCATTCATCATATTAGTAATAAACTGAGTTCAACAGATTTTCAAATGTAGACGACAAGCAACGTTACGAGAAACGTTCAAAGAGACCAGCATTACCGATAAAGCGAATCAAGAACTTTCACATAAAGTAAAAGTAAATTCGGTGCAAAGGGTAGTCTTGTTAAATAATGAAGTAAATAAAGGATGTTAAGGGGCAAAACATTAAAAAATAATTAGAGATGAAGAGGAGGATTGTTGTCACCAGCACAGAAATCCAAGCACCGTGAAAATAATCAGCCTACATTGAGGAAAGATGATCTGGCTAACAAGCAGCCACATCATAATTTCTTTCACTAAATATATGGCTGGTAATGCTAGGGGTCTGAGTAATGATGATACAATAGTAGCACCAGGCATTGCCAAAAAAAGGAATTCATATTCCTTCCAACTAAAATAGCTTGTTCTGATCTAGATACCAAGGAATGTCACATGCCTGTTATATGAATTTTTTGTACAGTGACTTGCACAATTATACAAACAATAAATGGTAAACAACAACTTGAGCCATTCTTTTTACTCCCGTATTGTGATTCTCATCAACAAGAATTTCCTAGAATATCCATGTCCTCTGAAACTTTGTTATGACTTGCAGCAACAAGAAATCCTTTGGGCACTGTAGCTAGCTGGTCCATGTTAGAGCATCTTGGGGATGGGGCTGGATAAAGAATCAGGAAAATATTATCATCTCTCTAATGGCCTCCTTCTTTTGCTATCCCCAGAGAATCAGGCCCCAAATACCTTCAAAGGTTTTATAGAAGAGGCAATTACAAAAGAGAAACCTCTCTGCAGGGAGTAACTGTGTTCAGTGGGTTGGATTTACATGTCCACTAGAATTTAAACAACTCTGCTTTATCCCCGATGTTTGGCTGATGTGCAGTGAACTTCTGTGGAGAGCATAGAAAACAACTCAGGTCTGGGTTTGATCCCAAAAGAAGAAATTATTTTTTCTTTGGTAGATGAAAGGTAATATATTATGGACCCGACAGTCAGAAAGGTGTGATAAACCTCAATGCAAAGACTTAGAGCCTGAGTCAGACTGATCAGGAGTGAAAGGAAGTGATCCACTGCCTGAGCAGAAAGGTCTTCAGGCATTATGGCTGAAAAGGTCAAGTGCAGTGTTCACAAGTGATAGCATGTTCACCAGTGGTCTCTATTGGGACATAATATTTTCTGGATACTATCATTTGTGAAGGTGAATAACAGAATGCAAGCTCTGGTTTTTGCTTGTTCTGCGTGCTCAAATGGGAGTTTGTGCTCATGAAATACAACACTTGTCTGCATAAGGAATAGCACGGAAAAATGCGTGTGCAAGGCTGCACGCATGTAATGAGGGGTCACACATTTTGAAATTCAGAGCTTAGACCACAGTGCCTATGCAAGATACCAAATCAGAAATGAGGCACCATGATGAGAAAAATGATCTCTCTCACTTGACCTTGTCTGTTGGGCAAGCCACACAACTACACTCTGATTCCCCATTGCGTATTTAAAATTATTTCAAAACAGCCAATTTGTTTGGGCATCTTTTTACAAAAACTATTAAAAAAATAAATACAAATATTAAGCCTGTTAAAAAGTTACCTTTGATGGCAGCTAAATATCCTCGTAGCTCTCTCTGGAGCCTGGAACCTTCCGCCTGAAAAAAAGAAAGACATGAAAATAGAGGTTGTATATCTAGAATGTAGCTGAGCAAAATCCACGTACCTCCAGAGTGGGCATTTTCCACCAGTGTCTCATGGGCTTTAAAATACATCCATATAACAGCCATTTAAAATAACTGAAAGTGCCTCTACTGCTTAATTAGCAATAAAAACCAATTTCAGAAAATATCCATCAGATCATGCCACATTATGACTCATTCTAAACATTACATACACCTTCTTTGTGCGAGTGTGTACATGTACAAACAAGATACACACTCGCAGATGTTGGCTCGTATAAATCTTATGCACCACTTAAACTATCATTTGAAGTTTTAGTTGGAGCACAGTCCTTGTGCTGGCCCTCCACACAGAGAAGAATTCCAATTAGCAAGAGAGTCATGTATTTCAAAGCCAAGGCCTGATCGACATGTATGATATCCTATCTTTTCCCTAACAATGATGAACATGTAATTAATTAAAATCCAGAATCCCCACCTGCTAGAGAAGTCAATGGAACTACGCCAATTTATACAGTTGCAGATCTGGCCCCAACTGTAAATCTAATAATAGTTTGGCAAAGGGATTTCAAAAATAATTTAGAAGTTTTTTATTGGCTATTGTAAAAAATAAAGTCATTTTACCCTTTAAATTATTTCTAAAGGTCTTCTCAATCCTTATTGCACTATTAGCAATTTTTCAGAAAATTGCTGCCATAATGGCACTAAATAACCACTGAAATGTTACTGGAAACTTAATATCGTTCCAAAAGGATAAAGCAATCTTAAGAAAAATACTTTGGCAATAAAATCCTACAGTCTGCTCTGAAATCTTAACTGTTTCCTTTGCAAGTACATCAAAGGGATCTTTCTTTATCTATTATCAATATCCTTTGAGAATCCCAAAGATCATATGTAAGAATACTGATTGGTGTACTTTAGCTTGGATTGCAACACAGTTCATGCTTCACACTTTAGAGGAGTATTTACAAAAAAGAAAATCTGTCATATTTTAGTGCCCTTAAGCATACTTTAGATCCAAAAAGCTGTTCTTTAGGATACTTTTCATATTCTGAAGAATTAGGAAAATCATAGATGTATATTACTGCCTAATATCCTTTAAATAGTTCTTTTGAAGCTATTGTTTAAGAATATTAGCTTGTTGTCAGATTTTCTCATGCATGTCCGAGCTCTGCCTAACTGAAGCATCAGTTGTGTGTTCTGAGCTTTAATCATGTTTTTAATATGAAAGTTAGGCGCCTCTCTTGGGAGCTATCTGAACGTTCTTGGGGGGGGGGGTGGATCTCAGCTGGTGTACACTGAAGTCAGTGGAGCTATGACACGTCACACCCGTTGAGGATTTGCCCTTAGGTGCCTAAAGTGCTCAGGTAAGGGGCGCATAAATGGCTGGGATAAGTATCTCTTGTGATTTTGTCAGATTAGATAAATACACAGTTTAAATGGTTTAATACAAATTATCCTCACCGAAAAAGGTAATACACCTAGGAGTATTACATTGATTTATGTCCTTTTGAAATGAATGTACTGTTGGAGTGCGAGCTATGTAGATTAAAGTTGTTTGTTTTCTGCAGAACTGGGCACTATGGGTGGCTGCAAAAGCACAATTTTCCATGCTGCCTGTAGACTGAAACTGGTGGGGAAGTTGTCATCACAGTATCAAGGAGGAGTAGAAGCTCTGGGCCACACTACTTACCCAAGCCAGGGAGAGGAGGGGAGTTTGTTCTCTGCTTTTAGCAGAGAAAGAGGAGCTGTGCGCTCTCTCTGATTTCACCCCACCACCAAGTCTCAACCAGTTCTGGAAGGACAACCTGTCTGGTGAGAGGATAATTCAGTTCCCATTCATGGTTTCTTTGCTGAGACAGTTAGCATGGGTTCTAGTCCAATTGTAATGGTGGGATTTTGGATGTAGACACACGTCTACTATGAACTATATTAAATCCACCATCTCGTATCGCAAACAGACGGTTAGATTGTAAAGACTTTCGGTCGTTCATTAACTTGATGGATTTGACTCAGTGACAAACAACTGGAAGGTTCCATAGCCTGTTACCAATCCTCTGAGCTATCCAGGTCCCATTTTAAGTACGTCTATGTACTGTTCAGAGGTAAACTACAGAATTGTATATGATGTGCTACCACAGTTGTAGAATAACAAGCACGCAACAAAAGATGCGGTAGTGACACAAGTTATTCAGGAAATAGTTTCCAATTCCACATACTATTTTAGGGTAACATCACAAAAACTATGTAATATTTTATGGCCAATCAGTAAATGTCATGAGTTGCCAGTGACCACTAGACATACAGACATATGAAAAAAGGTCATATTTGATCATATCGACTGTTAGCATTATCCTTCTGTATGAACAGTCAGAACTTAAAATGTGCAGCTCTCTCAATCTGCACTATTTTAGGGCTCAAGTCACTGACGTATCTAAGCAACACAGAACTCCACCAGCAAATATTCTATGAGACACAGCCAGTTCCAACTTTCATTAACATCAATAGCAAAAGGCCCACAGACTTCAATGACAGGAGAATTAGGCCTTACTAGACAAAAAGGCAAATTTGCTTCAGAAATCCTCTGCCCTGTCAATTTTACAACGTAGCTATCGGTGAAGATATTTGATCAGCTAACAAACTGTTTTTTCACATAGTGAAATCAATGCACTCCTCTCTTGTCCCCACTATCCTGAAAGGATCCTGCACCCTCTGTCCTGTGGGCAATAAGAACAAAGAGAAATGCTTTGGCATATTGTTTTTCAATTTTGACCACATCTCATATTTTTCCCCTCTGTACTTTGAATGCTTCCATAGTCTTGTCTTACAATTTTAAAGGGTTTTCTTTTCTATTCTTCCAGGTTACGCTTATGGTGCTAGAAGCCGTGGAACACTGCAACACCTCACATCAGACATGAAACTGACATTTAAACCATGCATTTAAGGATGAAGTCTAGTGAAAGAAAAATACAACTACAGTGAAAGAAAAAAAAAACCACTAAATCTTACTACTGTAATGAATGTGCTATGACGGATATATGCAGAGGATTCTCCTTCCTTTCTGGGCCATCACACTAAAGCATTTGCTAGCTCTGAAAACATTGTTGCATGAATTTGCATTAAGACAATCAGTCTATCAACTTTGTTAATTGAGATGTAGCTTCCTGAAGGAAAATAACTGGCAGGTACCAGTCTGCTGCTGTACTCATCTGTAAAGAGTGCACCTAAAAGAGATTTTAAAATCAAATCATGTCCTATTTATTCGCAAACACTGATGCCTATTTTATCATCATTGTATACAATAAAAACATGACAGCAAACAGAATAATAGTTTTATAATACATAAAAACAGGGGGGAAAAAAACCTCAAAAAGGATAGCAGAATCCTCACAATCCAGCTGTTTGATGTCAATGAGAATGTTACCATTAGGGTCCACATTGTCAAAATCGATACCATTAGGCCACACATTGTCGAAGTTAATATATATGTTCACAATAATCTCATAGGCAAATCTCATTAGATTGCACATACTAGTGATATGGGATGCTCCACATCCAAAATAATACCATTTGACCTATCCCTTACTAAAAAACAACACAAAACTCTACTGTGATGTCCAAAACAGTAACTTACAATGGTGTTTTGGACAATTATTGTATAAAAATCGTTGGTCTTATGGTCTCACATCATCCTCTTCTTCTCTTTTATTCACCAACCCTGGTGTCCTATTTTATAAGCAGCAATATCCTGTGGTCAACAACGGCATGAGCACCTCAGGGCAGGGGTCAAGCACAGACAAAATGTTGAGAGAGGCCAGGAAAATCCTTGACTGTTAAGGAGCCCCTAACCTTCCATAGCCATGGGGCTCCATGGTCCCTTAAACCAGTAATGCGCCCTTTTAATGAAAAATATAAATATGGTACAGTAGGTAGGCATATTTTGAATCACAGATTAAAACACTAAGGGCCAAATTCAGTCACATGAGGGACAAAATTGGTATAAGACTGGAAACTTTTCTAGATGTGGAGGAAGGAAATTAGAAGTGGAGCTGCAACTGGAAGGCTCTGCCATCAGACACATTAGAAATGCCTTTCCCCCCTCCTCCCCTTTAGAATGTGAATGTCACCCCTTAGCGAATTTAGGAAAAATCCTTAGTATCAGCTTATGAAACTGTTACAAAGCATCATTGGTTCACACTTTCTCTGATCAAGAAAGATTGGGACATGATTTTCTTAATCATTTCATTTACAAGACGCAGCTACAATGCAATTTATGTAGCGAGGCTGAAATATCACGTACTTGATATCTGAAAGAAATAAATCACCTGAACTTAATGAGAGTCAAGAGCATTGTCTACCACCTGATTGCCACAGGTGCAGATTACTTGTTAAACTGTGAGGCAGAATTACAAAAGGGTTAATCATTTATGTAACCCTAAGCCTAACAGAATGTTGTCATTTTATAACTAAATGTGTCTGGTACAACAGTTCAAATTAAAGCATTTCCTTTATCAGTCGGCTGACATGCTTTATTGAAATATGCAGTTATTAGTCTTAGCAAAAAAAACTAGGCTGTCATCAAGAGCTCTAATTTGCATACATTTTAGATGGGGACTGACATTCTTTAGAGACATCAAAGTACGAATTTAAAGAACTGTTAACAGCAGGAAAAGCTTGAAAAATATGAAGGACCAAATCCTACCCATTGGTATGCCCGGTAACTCAATGGGAGGTATATGTGCACATCAAATGGCAAAAATTTACACCAACCCTGTTTTTAACATCATTTTCTATCTCTATCTATCTAGGCTTGTGTATGGTTCCCATCACTGTGGTATCTGACTGCCTCCCCAAATTAGAAAGTGCACTCAACGATATATTCTTCTGTTTTTCTCTTTTTCCACCAGCCAGCAGAGACTGGGATTCTTTTATTTTTCTTTGGTGATGTTACTGTGAGAAGTCTAGGTTGAAAGAGG